CCCGCACGCACAGCACACGCACACGCACCAACACCACACACACCAGACAGACAGAGACAGACAGACAGACAGACAGACAGACAGAGACAGACAAGAGACAGAGACACAGACAGACAGACAGACAGACAGAGACAGACAGACAGACAGACCAGACAGAGACAGACAGACAGACAGAGACAGACCAGACAGACAGAGACAGAGACAGAGACAGAGACAGACACAGAGACAGACACAGAGACAGACAGAGACAGACACAGAGACAGACAGAGACAGACAGAGACAGACAGAGACAGAGACAGAGACAGACAGAGACAGAGACAGAGACAGACACAGAGACAGACACAGAGACAGACAGAGACAGACAGAGACAGACAGAGACAGACAGAGACAGACAGAGACAGACAGAGACAGACAGAGACAGACAGAGACAGACAGAGACAGACAGAGACAGACAGAGACAGACAGAGACCGACAGAGACAGACAGAGACAGACAGAGACAGACAGAGACAGACAGAGACAGACAGAGACAGACAGAGACAGACAGAGACAGACAGAGACAGACAGAGACAGACAGAGACAGACAGAGACAGACACAGACAGACAGACAGACAGACAGACCGACCGACCGACCGACCGACAGACAGACAGACAGACAGACAGACAGACAGACACACAGACACACAGACACACAGACACACAGACACACAGACACACAGACACATAGACACACAGACACACAGACACACAGACACACACACACACGCGCGCGCGCGCGCTGACAGAGAGACACTCACACACATATATAGACACGAAGGCACACACACACACACACAGAGACGCACACGTATACGGACACAGACAGACACAGACATGCAAACAGATGGAGACACAGACGCACAAACAGATGGAGACAGGGGGCACGCACACAGAGACACATTCGAACCATCTACACACTCGAACCATTTCCATATAGAACATGGCGCAAGTGTCACAATAAATAAGCTCATACATGAGATTGTGTGCCAGGACATGGCGAAGAAAACTACACCGACCACAACACATCATCGCAACTCCTGGTCGAGACCGACGAAGTCGAACACAGTCTAGCGCTGGTATTCAGCATGTCAACCTTTTCGCTGCACTGTGCGATAGAGCAGCCCGTCCACGGTATATGAAGTGATCTCATACTGTGCACGAGGAAGTTGTTCATAGGCCATGCGCGAAGTGGAAAGCATGACACCGCATGTGGTCGCGTCGTCGCATCACGTAACACGATGAGACCTTGGTGCATGTAAGCAGGGTGCCAAGTCTACACTCTGAACCCGTCTTTAGTTCGCAGACGCACTTGTTCGATAGATGACGTCCGACGGGAATTGAATTGCTTCTTTGAACCAGTGTAGAGGGTTTTTTGGCATCTCTCGTCACTCTTAGATCGGAAGCCGCCGCACCCTTGCGAGGGCTCCCAGTCACACAGACGACCTTGGATGACCTTCACGCTTGTCGGTATCTCCGAAGCTCGGAGCCCTAACCTTCACAGCCCTGGAGCCATCACCCCGAGCACGCAAAATTTAAAACCCAAACGGTGAAAGTAACAGTAAAATGGATATGCTGGCGTTAACAGTATGTGTTTTGTATGTGTATATATAGACTATACATACACATGCGTTTGCATATACATCGTATATACATATATATATATATATATGTATGTATGTATACATGTATATATATATATATAGAGAGAGAGAGAGAGAGCTCGCATCTTATGTATATATATATATATATACACATAGGTACAGTGCTGAAGCCGTTTGGGTGAAGCAGCGCTTGTTACAGGCAGGAAAAGCGGAAGCAGCAGGTCCCTGCAAGTTGCAACAGGGCAGGTCCCAGTTTTCTGGGGCTAAGATGAACCCTAAGCCCTAAACTCTACACTTTAAACCCTATAGAGTTTTAGGTTCTTGTTTTATAGGGCCTTAGAGGTTTATGGTTTAATTTAAAGATCGAGAGTGTTTGTCTCATCGCCATCATTATCTTCTTCCCCCGCATCATCATGAATGCTGATGCCGGAATGGGTCCAGGTCTTTCGAGTTCGGCAGTTTACTTCATAAGACTTTACTAAGAGTTTCCGGAGTTTAGAGTTGCTTGGGGGGCTTTGCTAACACATGACACTTCAACAGTACCCCCAGTATCTGCCGACACGTCAATGCAACGGTGGAGAAGGTCGCAGGTATCTTGTTCGTGTCAAATTCCCGGACTGTGGTTTGTGGTGCGGGATGTGTCGTATGTCGGACTGTATTTCCCTGAGAGGCTTGGGTTGCGTGTCACCTAGCATTGCATTCAATAATGTATAGGGGCCTTACAATTACAGATTAGAATAGGGCTTTGGGGGTTCATTGTTGCAACTATCGTAATTATAATAAGCACCCAGCCCGGCCTAGTCTAACTGTGAAGGCCTCTATATCATAGAACCCTCGTAGTATCCCTTGTAGTAGCCCTCATGGACCCCTTTTAGAACCCTTTAAAGGAACCCTGGTCTAATTATTAAGGCGCCTATATGACTATAGATCCGTGATATTGGCCCTTATAAAGACCCCTTCAAAGGAACCCTATTCTAATTCATGAGGCCCCAAACCCTATTCTAATTATTAAGGCCCCCATGTTGGTCTAATTATTCCTGCGGGCTCGTTGTTATAAGTATACTATAAAGGGGCCCAAAACCCCATGTTGATTACTAAGGCCCCCTACATTATAGTGCCCTCATAGACCCCTTATAGTAGCCCTTATAGACCCCTCTAAAGGAACCCTTTTCTAACTAGTCTGGGGGTTGAGGGTTTCAGGGATCATGCGTGAGACCGGAAGTCGGGGCCTCGAGATTCTCCCTAAAAGTACCGAGCTCAGTGCCCCTACATTCCTAAACCCCAAACCTTACATACTAAAGCGGGGTTTAGGGTTTAGGGGTTTAGGCTTTAGGGTTAAATGCCTTTTCAAGGGGTCTTTAAGGATTACTGTAAGGGTTTGAATATATCAAGGCTTTAGAGTGAAGGGTTCCTGCATAGAAACTCTCCAGGTGGACCGCAAGCATCTGTGCACTGCCGCGAACACTTTAGGCTCGATGCCACTTAGTCCGAGCCTGGGAGCCAGCCCTTTGTCATCTGGCGCTCCTTGGTGGCAGCCGTTGGAAACAGCAGCCGCGCCAACAACACACACTCCACCACCACGGAGAAGTCACACAACCCCCACATCACCATTACCTTCGTCAGCATCATCTTCAAGGTCACTTTGTATCGAAGACACTTCAACATTAACTTTGTAATTGCTATGGCTACCTGGGTTTGGAGTACCAGACTTGACTGCTTGTTTTTGGTGCCTGTTTCTCAAAGGAACCATTATGAACTATGAAAAGCAGTCTGTACTTTTTCCCCCTGGTTACTTCAAAGTCCGGGCTATGGTCGCTACACGCCAGCCTGCTCCGGTTGTTTCTTTCCTTCTCTTTGCTCCCTGTGATCATCATCGTAAGCGTGATCCTACCCATAGGCCCCAAAGTAGTCCCTTTTTGGAGTTCATATTTAGAATCCTATAAGGTAATCCCAAAACGGAACTACTTTGGGCCTATGGGTAGCTTGAAAATCCATGCACCGGAAGTGCTTGCAACATAGTGTCGTGGGTCCCAGGTCACAGCCGCACGTTTCGAGTGAAACCCGAGGCCCTATACCTGAAGCCCATGGCCTACAACCTCAGTCCTAACCCCAAACCCTAAAACAGGGGAGATTGCAGGCTTTCGCATTCCGGATCCTCAAGTTTATGCTTTCATAGTCCGTGCACAGCTGGCGTAGAGCATCCTCCCGATGGAGAAGTGGTTTAGGGTTTAAGGCTGCGTTCTTACGGACATGCCCTAAACCCTAAACCCCTAAACCCCTAAACCCTAAACCCCTAAACCCTAAACCCTAAACCCCTAAACCCTAAACCCTAAACCCTAAGCCCTAAACCCTAAACCCTAAGCCGCAGTAGCGCGGCTTCGGATCTCTTGGGTTTCCTCCTGGGGCCCCCCCAGTTTTCAATGATCGAATGCAATATCAACAGTATACGGAATGATGTTCGCTTATGGCTCATGAAGCTAAACCCCTACCTGGACCCCAAAAGTATGTAGAATAATAGCCTTTTATAGGTTTTGGGCCATTTTTTTACATACTTTTGGGGGTCTAGGTAAGTCCTATAACTCCTTAACCCTTATACACCTTCAATCTTGAACTCTGGATCCTGACCAATCCTAACATTCCGAACTCCTCACACCCTAAGCCCTTGCACCTTCAATACGCAGCCCTAAATCCTTTCTAATCCTACAATCTTGGCCCGAAACCAGAGATCCCAATACCCCTTATTCAAAGAATATACCTTAAACCATAATATTAGGGCCTCCTGGGGATCTCTGGAAACAGCCCCAAATCTGCAGCTTCGATCCCTGGCGGCCGCCCAGGCGTTCCACACCTCGCGGGGAGCCTCGGACAGTCCAAGTCGCTCTAAGACCTTCTCCTAGCCTTCGGGGTTTAGGGTTTAGGGTTTTAGGTTCAGGGGTTCAGGGGTTTAGGGTTTAGGGTTCAGGGTTTAGGTTTGTAGGATTTAGGTTTGGGGCCCTTAGATTCAGGATGTCGATGGCTTTACTCGTTTTGGACTGTGTTGTCGATCCATTTTCAAGCTTCGTATCTACCTAAGCCCGCCAAACTCTGGTTGTTCATGCCCCTCCGCGCGGGCAAGCATTTCGTGAGTGCATACATCTGCGAGCATGTTAAGTGGAACTTCGTTCCCCTTAATGCCTTAATGTAAGGGCCTTAGTAATCAGGAGAGGGTCTGGGGGCTCCTTATTATAAGTATAGTATAATCTTAGGGCCGCTGTAGTGCTAAGGCAGCCCGGCTGCCTTGAAGTGCATACCTTCAACCCCACAGCTCCAAAACACAGGACAGAAAGCTTAGTTTTCAGCCAAGGTGTGCTCTAATCTGAAATATGGCAAGCTCCGATCAGCCAGCCGGCAGCAACAGGATCATTTTTTGCGTGGGGGCAGCGGTTGAGGATTTAGGCGCCCTGGAGCCATCCAAGTATAGTAGCTCCCGGAGTCAGGTTTCTTCTGCATTGCAGTCGATTTTGCTTGGGGTCAGGGCGAGTATTTCAAATTTCGTTTAGTAGGGCCTGTCACAACGTTCTTATCAAAAGCCGGTGGAGCTGAGCCCAAGTGCAAGCAGCTGCATCAAGCTTTGTGTAACTCGTCTCAGGTGTAACTTGTCTCGGCTTGTTCGCTCTCTCGCATGATTCTTCAAGACCCGCGTGCCTTGTGGCCTCACCTGCACAAAGCCGTCTGAAGCCTTACTTGAAGCAAGCTCTAAACCCTAAACCCGAATCTACCGCCAAAGCGCGAGCCTCCACCGTTTCGCGGCGTAGTCTTCCACGGCCCTGTAGCGCTACCCAGCCCCGAACTCTATAGTCGACTCTCGCCTCTAGATCCCGGAAGTTCTAACCTATACCAGAAGCCCCAATACATCCGAACCTTGTGCCTTCTGCACCCCAATCCATCCTATCTCCCACCCCTTACATCCTAAATCCTTAACTAACAATCCTAAGTCTAAAAATCCTCAACCCTAAATACCCTCAACCGTCCCCATATCCCCCTAAATCCTAAATCCCAGATCCTAAACCCTATAAACCCTACATCCTAATCCTTGTGCCTTAAGCCCGGCACGATGCGAAGCCTCTCAGGGCGGCGCTGCCTCCCTCGGGCACCGCCAGCATGCCGGAATCCCTACGCAGGCGCCGGCCTTTGCAGTGTCTCTTGTGATCTCTTTTATGGGTTTAGGGGTTTAGGGTTCAGGGTTTAGGGGTTTAGGGTTCAGGGTTTAGGGGTTTCGGGTTCAGGGGCTTAGGGTTTTTCTTTTTTGGGGTTCAGATATTTAGAATCCCATAAGGTAACCCCCAAAAAGGAACTACTATGGGGCCTTAGGGTACAGGCTTGCTTTCAGGGTTTGAGTTGAATATGGATCTTAATGCCCAAGGGCTCCTCCTAAACCCTCAGAAACCCTAAACTCCAAGACCCTCATAAACCTAGGGTTTAGGGGTTTAGGGCTGAACCCTCATCAACTCCTAGGATGCCCAGTAGTACCCTTATTCCCTTATTTTCATGGCTTGTGAGGTTCGCATATGTATGTGTGTGTGTGTCTATATATATATATATATATATATATATGTAAGAATAAAACCGTTGGATAAATCAGTCAATGCATATGTGTATAGTGTATATATATATATACACACATAGATAGATCTGTGGTCTGCTGTTCTGCCTCATTGGCTAGAGCTTTCAAGTCAGGGTTGACAGCGACAGAAGGCTTAAAGAGTCTTAAAGAGCCGTGCTCTTGTCAAAAGGAACGCTTTCGGCATCAGATTTCTTATTCTCTCAACCCTGACATTCCGAACCCCAGGCCACTCAAACCCCTAAACCGCTAAACCCTAAACCCAGCCTGGAAGCCGGGCCAGACCAACCTTGAACCCCCCTCTCTCTCTCTCTCTCTCGCTCTCTCGCTCTCTCTCTCTCTCTCTCTCGCTCTCTCGCTCTCTCTCTCTCTCTCTCTCTCTCTCTCTCTCTCTCTCTCTGCACTCGTCCTGAGGAGTGCCAGCGCCGAATCGCTATCATTTGAAGAACCCAATATTTACCCCAGAGTCTGTATATGAGTTTGGTGTGCTTTAGGGTTTGGGGCTTGGTTTAGGGTTTAGGGTTTAGGGTATAGTGGTTTAGGGTTTTGGGCTTATGGGAATACTCAACCTTGATCATTAGGCCTCAAAGCTTTGCAGGTTAGGATGAACGGTGTAAGGTTTACAACCACTGAATGTTGTTTTGATCTGCTCTACCCTAAGGCACCACAGTAGTTCCTTCTTGGGGTTACCTTACAGGATTCTAAACATGAACCCCAGAAAGGCGTTGATCTGCTCTAGGGTACTTGCTGCAGAATGTGTACCCTGAAGGCCTGAACACAAGCCTATGTCAGATGACCCCCGCTTCACCAAGCGGAACACGATTCCACGGATGGGTTTGGGATATCCCAAAGCTTAAACCTGACGCACCCTAAAACCCCCGCAAAAAATCTCCACGCCACACACCCCCCGAAACCCTCAAGCAGAAGCAGCCAGACTGAGCTCTGAACCTACGCGGCTTCCGAACCCTGTAGCTCTAAACCCCTAAGCCCGAAAGCTCCATTCCCATAAAAAGCGGATATTTCCTAAGCAGCATCATCGTCTCGGCGAGGCTCTCCATCACGAACCCGATTCTCTTCTCGTCTACAACCTGGGCAGCCTTGTGCGTAGGCGCATTTTTTTGAGTTTGGGGATTGAAGGTGTAGAGTTACGGGTTTGGGTTCCAGGACTGGGAGTCATCCCGAGCTATCTCCATGGGGAAGAGTGGTCATCTACTACATAATACGAATACCCATGCAAGAAGGCAACATGGATTTCGAGAGAAAAAGCGGTGCTTTTCAATGCGACCAGCTCGGACTCGGTGTAATGTAGACGGCTCAAGTCTGGCGAGCCTCGTAAATGATGCGGATGGTAGGGCTCCAGCCGTGGAGAGCTATGGCAGGCACCCCATCTTATCAAAGCCCAGTTCAGGGATAAAGCTTTGCTCGCAGTCCCTGTTAGCGATCGGGGGGGCGGCACGAGCTATGCCCAAGACTTCGGAAATTTCGATTGAGACTCCAAACTCCCAGCCGGGTTCACCGAGGCCGTGCGGTGTGCCGCCAGTGCTGCCGCTCTTAGTCGTAACCATTAGAGTATCTTCTGACATAAATTTTTAAACAACAAGAGCCACTGCCGCTGCCACTCCGACGAAGGCGACTGTCCACAGAAAAAGGTGATCTGACGACGATAACGGCTCTTACTGCTGTTCCTACTCTTACTCCAGGGGCCCTCATAGCGGGGGAAGCCATGTTCACACACCCATCTCTAATGCGTCTTCTTAGTTGGCCCGCCTTGGCGTTTTGTCTGACAGGCTATGCCCTGTGGCAGGTTCCTGAGGCGCATCTGCACTGCGCGTAACTACGGGGCATCGGGCAGTCTTACATACTTTGGTTCTTGGACTAGAAGATACTTTTGCTGGTCGCCAGAGGTTTACGAAAGCTTAGACACCTTGTGGTGCACATGTAAAGAATGGCCGACTTTGTCTCATTCGGAGCCCGATGCACACGAGAAACACGCCTTTTATTTGGTGGGTAGTTTGAGGTCTTGAGGGTTTGGGTTTTGGATTTTGGTTTTGGTGTTTGTGTGTGGGTATTGGGGTCGACTTTCAATGCCTCCGCCGGCTTGATTGATTGAGAGCAGTTCAAGGCACTCTCCCTTGGCAGTGTGTAGCGCCGCTCGCCATCGTGCACGCCGGTGCATTCCCGCCCGACAACCCTCCACCCTCCCCAGAAGGACTGCCCGAAGTTGAAGAACTGATGATTGCTTTGACTTAGTACACTTTTGGGGATAATATTACCCACTATAAAACTAAAAGTGTACACTTTTGGGGGCTTAAGGACTCAGCAACTAAGTTGACCAGGCTCCATTGACAAGCCCGGAGCTGCTCAGCGAGCAGCTCAAGCCCCCCGGATGACAACTTACCCGCAGCACAGGTTTATGGGGAATTAGGTGCCGCCTACGCCGGTAATGGTTACCTTCCAGTGCTTGGGGCTTGGGTCGTAACAAGAGTGTTGAGGTAAAGATCCATCCTCAAACCCAGGACTACAATGCCTCCCCTGGTTTCGGCAGTACTAGCATCCACATTTCAACAACTACGAGATGTTGGTTGGTTGCCCAGGGGGCTGCACCAATTAGTTTCGTCACTTGTGGGGTCCTCATCCTACTCGGGTCAGGGAGAGGGAGGGGCTGTAAATTTGTGCAGGGATTAGGGTACTGCCCAGGGCTCCGCGTTGCTTGACAAGGTGTTGAGACAGTATAGAGCGTTTGAGCCCCTTCACTGAAATGGTGATGTACGTCTGATTGACTTGACTTGCTCCCTAAACCATGAACCCTCAACCTTGCAACCCTTGACCATTAGTGTCAGTACTACCACTGACACCTTTAGTATAAGTAGCATTGTTGACAAACCTCGTATTACTGTTATCGTCGTTACCGTTAGTACTACGTACTAGGTACTAAACGACGCACTGTGTACTATGTACTATGTAGTACGTACGACGGATACTACTACTGCTTGGGGTGTCGGGGGACTTAGTAAGTAGTTAGTAAGTAGACTTATAAGTACCCTAAAAAGGACCCTATAATTGGGGTCATGATACTTATAAGTCCCTAAAATAACCAGTTACTAAGTCCCCCGACCCTCCAAGTGCTCTAAACCCTAAACCCTATACCCTTATAGAATCCCTATAGATCCCTTTAAAGGAACCCTAAACTACGACTACTGCTGCCACGAGTCTTCGGAGGCTCCGAATCCGAAGCATCCCGGTGCCATCCAGCAGCCCGCGCTACCAGCAGTTCAAAGAGTCGGGGCTCCCGGCGGACTTTGGGGCCCGGCCTACGCACAACTCTTTGCGTTCGTAACTTTTCGGAACCCTAAACCCTAAACCCTAAACCCGATATAAGGGTTCAGCATTATGTTTTTGGGCATGGTCGTTTGCCGAAAGCTTCTCGACCAGCAGTCGAACGTTCTTCGCCGGCAGGGCAGCACGCCGCACGGTCAGCATGTTTCTCAGCACTTTAGGCAACGGGCATCGAGCAGACATTTTGTGGAGCAAGTCATCCAACCATCTACCTCGTCTTTCCATAATGCCTGTGACCGACGTATGCTTCTGTCTCTATGTGGCATCCAAGTAAGTACGCCTGCGCGAATGTACGCATGTGTTTGCTTTGCATTTGTGCACTATGTGTGCAGGTCTGCCTGCGTGCGTATATATATATATATATATATAGATATACATATACAATATATGTGTGTGTATGTATGAATGTTTGTATGTATGTATGTATGTATGTATGTATGTGTGTATATATATATATATATATGTATGTACAAAAGTGTTTATATGTATATGTATGTGTATATATATATATATATATATATATATATATATATATATCATAGGTTTTTACATGTACAGAAGCATCTGTATGTATGTTAGGTTAGACATAACTGCATAATGTGCATATGTGTGTGCATGCATATACCTGTATAATATGTGTATATATAATATATATACACACATGCATATTGCGTTTGTTGTGTTTATGATCTTTTTATGTTTATGTGTTTCCATGTTTATGTGGATGTGCATGTGTATATGTGTGTACATAGACTGTACAGATACATACATACATACATATACACATACGCACGTAGGCACATATACAGATTAACGGTCAGTACATGTTTGAGTGGATGGACGGAAGGAGAGACCAAAGCAGACAGGGATGTATCCAGTGCTGCACACCAGAAACTCTGAATGTTACGAACCTGAGCCCGGAAAGCAAACCCCAATATCACGCCGATGCCGTGATTCCTAGTCCGAATTCCAAAACGTCTTGAACCTCTCAGCCGTACCGCGCAAACCCTGCCCCTGTGCCTGATAAGCGCCCGTGTCTGCAGGTACTACACTCGTGAGCATGACCTCCAGCTCCAAGAATACAAGGCTCCTCAGGGTTTCGCTAAAAGCAACGGGTTAAGGTCCTGAAGCTGTACAGTCATGGACCTTGATTCTCAGGCTCAGTTCAAGCTTTCAACATTCGAAGGGGCTCAGGGTGCGGCCCATTGGGTCGCTTTGTGGCGGTTGCGATCAGCATTGCTTGGATTGCTTTGGTGGCTTCGCATGATGCTTGGGAGCATGACCATTACACTCGTTCTCTGTCATGTTCAGAACTGTCAAGATCGAACAGGTACCGTGTCTCGGGTATGATTGTTTTCTTGCTGCGAGGGCACCCACAAAGAAGCGATGTGTACAGTGTACATCACGATATAGTGGCCTGAAGAGGGAACAGCAACAGGCACATTTTCGTGATGTCATTCAGACCACTCAACATGGTACTTATACTGGCACAAACTACGCCTTCAGATGTTTGCAGGCTGAAGGCAGTTCGTCGGATTCGGGAGTTTCGTCCTCGGTACGAGTCTAGTCCAGCCAGCATGTACACATAATGAAACTTCTTTTGGATATCCATGTTTCAGCTTGCTTGCTTGCTTTCCTGGTTATTCGTTGGGTGACTTGCATGTAACATGAAGATGTACACACGCGAAGTGGGCTTGGTTAGTCCATACTGAGACTGACTAAATCTATGTATGTCTTGTCCATCTCATACACAACATCGTCAAGCAGTCTCACAAGGGACCTTGCAATCCTGTTTTCGGATTCCGTTGCTTGCTTCGTCTTATGTGTTTTGGCCAAGCAGCTAGCACATGCGAAGCAGCGGCAACCAGCCAGACATGCACAGTTTGAAACCCCAATCCCTAAAACCTTAGAAGCCTGACACCCAAATAAAGCCCTAAGCCCTAAACCCCTAAAGCCCTAAAAGCCTAAAGCCCCAAACCCTAGAACCCCTAAAGCCCTAAACCCCTAAGACCCTAAACCCCTAAACCCTATCAACCCCTAAACCCCTAAACATAATATACCTAACCCTAAGCCGGCCCGGGCAGGCAGCTCACGCTAAGTGGCAGCAGAGCACTGCCGCCTTCAACTGGCGTGCGTTCGCACAGGGCCTTGGAGCCCCCCGGTTTAAGGTTCAGGGCTTATAGGCATTGTAGGTTTCTAGGGTTTTACAGGCTTTAAGGTTTAGGGCTTTGAGGTTTACGGTGATTACAGGATTTTGCAGGGTTTTTGTGTGTGGGGTTGATAGGGTTTGTAGGGTTTGCAGCGTTTCAGGTTTAGGGCTTCGAGCTTAGGGGCGGGATGCTGGGGTATCGCAGGTGCTAATTCATGATTCTGATGCTGCTGCCGCACCGGTACACTGCCTCCCCTCCTCTGCTACTAAAGCTGCTGCTACTGCTACTACTACTACTACTACTACTACTACTACTACTACTACTACTATTACTACTACTACTACTACTACTACTACTACTACTACTACTACTACTACTACTACTACTACTACTACTACTACTACTACTACTACTACTACTACTACTACTACTACTACTACTACTACTACTACTACTACTACTACTACTACTACTACTACTACTACTACTACTACTACTACTACTACTACTACTACTACTACTACTACTACTACTACTACTACTACTACTACTACTACTACTACTACTACTACTACTACTACTACTATTACTCCTACTACTACTACTACTCCTCCTCCTGCTGCTGCTACTGTAGTTTTCCGGCGGTGGCCGAGGCACCGCCGACATGTTGGTTGGTCGTTGATCGTATCATTAACTTTGCTCTTTCCCTAGTTAGTCATAGTCTTATTTTCATGAATTCAGTTTTTGCGTTAGGCAATTCCTGACGTGATCTTTGCGAGAGCTTGCTACAGTCACAGTGTGCAGTGGAGACTTGGGCATTGGGTAGCATTCACGTTCCTGGCGTGCCTGCCCTGATTCCTGGTAGCCCCCGGCTACGGGTTGGCGTTCAAGTGTTTGTCGTTTTGGGTTTGGGGTCTACTAAGCATTAGGCTTGCTAAATGGTGAAGACCTTCACTAAGGTTGGTGTGCTCATCCTCTGCGGCGCGCTGGCCGTGCTGGAATACCACTACGGTGCCCCAGCTTTTGTTGATGTGGCTGTCTGCTTTGGTTGGACGTGCGGTTCTCAAATTGTTCGTTGTGAGCGAGGCAGTTTTGTGTGTCGTGATGGATCAAGCTAGATATTTGGACAAAGATGATTCCTTCTCCCGGCTGCTGCTGCTTCTGCTGCTGTGGCCACTGCTTGCTTTCAGCTGTTTAAGGTTCAGTGTTTGGTGGTGTAGGGGTCTAGGGCCTCTGCCCAACATCGCACGGTAGTGCAGTATTCAAGCCGAACCGGCGAATTCAGTGAAATTCAGTGTCCATGGACGTGCATCACGGGTTTCACCCATCTAAAACTTACCCTACCTGGACCCTAAGGAACCTACCTTTTCAGGGTTCCTTATTATGATTTCCTTATGTAAGTCCTTAAAAAGGTAGGTTCCTTAGGGTCGAGGTAAGGCCTAAACCCCATCGCATGCAGGCGCCATCTCCTATTGGATGGAGGCTGGGGACTGGGGACATCTGGGGATTGACGCTAAAGATACCACAATGTGGACAGCTTCAGGAGAATCATATAGGGGCTTTAACAATTCGAATAGGGTTCCTTTAAGGGATCTATAAGAGCCATCGGGAATGGCAGTTTCTTATGTTGCTGTAGGAGCAGGGCGCAGGGCCTCGTTGTGCTTTCGGACAAGCATTTCGAGAAGCATGTATCGCGCCGTATGCCGGAAATCAGGTTCCAGAGGCACTCAATGCGAGTTTTTGCTGCTTGGTTGAGCCCAAGTCCCAAGCGCTATAGTGCCTCTTCACCGGAATTCCTTTGTTTCGGATGACCTTCTTGAGAAAGAAGCCAGAAGCCCGAAACCTTGCTTGCATCCTGCATCCTCAATAGCTCGAGACTCCTGGCCCACAGGCCTTGACAGTCAACGGTTTAGGGTTTAGCTTTCGGGCTGCATAGACCGCATAGAGCTCGGGATGGGAGATCTAACGGTTAGGGCGTCGCAGGCTAATGCTAAGGGCGCAGGGCTTTGAGATCAAGGTTTCAGGTTTCAGGACAAAGCTTCCTAAGCCCTCAAACCCAACACCCTCAACCCCTAAACCCTAAACCCTAAGCCAAACAAAAGCCTCACTCCGAAGGTTGCCGAAGAGATCTGGTCCGACGTCCAGCAAAAGCGCCAGAAACGGCTGCAGCTGGCAGACTCGGCGAAGATGGAGCGACTTTTGCAGGCCCGGAGACTGATAATGCTAGCATAGAAGTCTGGCCGAAATTTCTCCTCCGAAAACCCCTAAACCCCTAAACCCTAAGCCCCCAAACCCCTAATTCCTAAACCCCTAAACCCTATAAACCCCTAAACTCTAAACCCCTAAACCCCTGAACCCCTAAACCCCTAAGCCCTACACCCCTAAGCCCCACACCCCTGAACCCTAAAACGGACTCCAGGAGATTGGAGAAGGAGCCGAAGATGCTAACGGCAGCGACCCGGAAAGCGTTAGAGGGCATTAGTTTACGGAGGGTTTAGGGCTTAGGGTTTATGGGGTTAATAGGGTTTAGGGTTTAGGGGTTTAGGGTTTAGGGGTTTAGGGTTTAGGGCTGAGGGTTTAGGGGGTTAGGGGTTCCGGGTTTTAGTTTAAAGAGGGCTTTTCGGGTTTATGGTGGATACCCTAAGACCCCAAAGTAGTTCCTTTCTGGGGTTCATACTTAGAATCCTATAATGGTATCCCCAAAAAGGAACTACAATGCAGCCTCGGGGTATAGTTATATAGTTCAGGCTAAGGGCATTGAGTTTAGGGTGCAAGGCTTAGGGTTAATGGCATAGAAACAGTGCAGGGTTCAGGGGGCAGGGTGCAGGGTACAGGGTACGGCCAACGGTTTAGGGTTTAGGGTCCCATAGTTTAGGGTTTAGGACAATGGAAGTTCGTATTGGGACTGGCGGGGTTCTATGTGGGCCCAACGAAGCTTCGGTAAGCATGCGGGTATGTGTCGTGGTTTGGGGCATGGACATCGGAATTGGGGCATCAACCCGACACCTCCCTACACACCCCACACGAATTCCTAACCCCAAAAATTCAACGAAGCCTTGGATCTTAAACTTCCCAGGCCTACACCCCAAATATTGACTCAGCCCTTAACAGAAACCTATACCCTAGTCTCTCACAGAAGCCCCGAACCCTGTCAAGCCCCGCCGAAGTTCATGCGAAAACGCAGAGCTATCAACGTTTAAAGCCTTGAGCCCTCGAAAATATGCCCGGATTTCAAAAAAAGGGCAAACCCTACACCCAGAACCTTGACCCGAAGAAGCCATGTTAATAAACCCTAGGCCCTAAGCCATCTAAACCTGAGGGGCCCTGGATTCCCAACCCCCCCCCCCCCCGCTCCACTCCCCTCGCGTAGGCAAAGGAGGCCCCTCGAAGCGCCGGAAGTCGGAAGGCGAATCGCGGCAGCCGGGGCCTCTGGGCCTCTGCGTGGAGGAGTTTGTTGCAGGTTTGTATGGGTTCATGGGTTTAGGGTTCGGCGGTATGAGGGTTGAGGATGCGTGTTCCAGGATTTTATGGGGCTTTGATTGGGCAGGTTGCTCCTGGTTTCTAGGTTCTAGGTGTTTTGTCCGGTGTTTCTGGTGTTGCTGTTGTGGTTTGTGGAATGCAAGGTTTTCTTTCCATCGGGGTTGTGGTTGTTTATAAGATATACTCTGGCAGACGGGTTTGTGCAGGTTTACAGTCCCAGTACTGGGCTTGAGTGGCTTGCAGGCTCAGGGGCTTCAGGGATTTATGACCTAACATGGGCTTTAGTGAAGATGTCGCTGTGCTCTGGCCTCCGAAACCTCGAACCACAACGGCAGATCCTCTTCTCCACGCCGAGCATGCCTAAATGGGGGATTTCCGAAACTAGGGGACCCTAATATACTACCCCAAACAGTAGGATCTTTATTACAAGGATCCTAAATGAATGCATCTCTTCGTGTGCGGCATCAGTGACAGGGCTGTGGGGTGGGAACTTGGAGGGTCGGGGGACTTAGTAAGTAGTTAGTAAGTAGACTTATAAGTACCCTACAAGGGACCCTAGTTGGGGTTATGGTACTTATAAGTCCCTAAAATAACCAGTTACTAAGTCCCCCGACCCCCCAAGAAGAGTCCGGTTGAAACTCGGTGCCAGGCGTGTGAAATCTCCTGCAGCCTCCGAGACAAAGGCAACCTGACGTGTAATTTCAAGCGGTTGAGAGTTGAAGGTGCCAGGGCTGCGAGGTCGGGGTTTAGGGGTTTAGGGTGGTTTCGGAATTTCGGGTTCAGGATGGACTTCTTTTAGACGCCCTGCGGTGCTTTGATGTTAGTTCTTGCAGACGTCGCTTTGATCATGCGGGTTGGAGAGGCCTAAGGTTTTGAGAACAGGAGGAGTCGAAGAAATGAGCCTCAGCGCTTGTCCTCAGTATTGTACTTCTACAGGGAACTCCAGAAAGTTGGAATATGGTTTCAGGGTAGGATACCTTATAATTTACCATAGAAGGGTTAGGAGAATCATATTCCAACTTTCTGGCTTTTACTGTACTGGCACTGGCTATTGACAGCCACGGTCCCGAAAACAGCCGAAAGGATGATTTGCCTGATACATCTACCCATAGGCTCCATACTTGTTGTAGTTTGTTGTGGGGTCAATATTTACCTAAAAAGGTCAACAGCTTAAACCCCAAACACCCCCAAGATCCCTCACTCCGAGTCTTTAGCCAACGATTTCTGTATGTGCCAAACTCTAAAGCCCGATACCCTTTCTACTTGGGGGGTCGGGGGACTTAGTAAGTAGTTAGTAAGTAGACTTATAAGTACCCTAAAGGGACCCTAATTGGGGTTGTTATGGTACTTATAAGTCCCTAAAATAACCAGTTACTAAGTCCCTCGACCCTCCAAGTAATCCCTAAACCCTGAGCCGCCACAGATGTTGTTTCCGCTAGGCCGCCACGGTGACACCATCCCAGCCGGTGCCTGTATCGAGCGTGCCGACAGTGCCCAAAGAGGAGAAGCTGCAGTTCTCGTTTTTATGGTTTAATCAGGGGTCTTGGGGGTCTTGGGGCACATGGGTGAGTTTCCGAAAATAGGGGTACCTTATTTAGGTGGCGGTATTTTTTGCTTATGTTTTTTTTTTTCAGGTTTTTTCCTTATGTTTTTCCGTTTTCCTCGTGGCAAGCAAGCAAGCCAGCAAGCAAGCAAGCCAGCGAGCAAGCAAGCCAGCGAGCAAGCAAGCACGCCCGATACCCCTACCTACCCCTACCCCTAGCCAAACAAGGGAAACGGAAAAAAACTAAGAAAAAACAACGAAAAAATAAGGAACAAAAACCACGCCCCCTTATTTAGGGGTCCTTATAATAAGGATCCTACTATTTAGGGTGCTATATTATGGTTGGGGGTAGGGGTGTAGGGGTTTAGGGCTTAGGGGTCAAGGGTTTGGCCTTGATTTCGATTATAGAGTCTTGAACAGGTAGTAATTAATGTTCGAAAACATTGGCATCGCGAGCATGTCGCGGCACGTTCTGTATCAGTGACACTTGAATGGATAAATCCTGCATATCGCGTCAAATCTCATAGGCTGGCTGCCTCAGAGCAGGTTCTGTTGTTCTTTACGGCGGCAAAGTTGTATCACATTGCTTCCTTAGTGATTTGGCATTCCTAGAGCCTCCATCTACCCTCTATTAGACCCTTAATGCCCATTGTTTGGGTCCAAAAACCCCTATTTGAGGGCATAAGGAGGGTCCTGGTTCTTGCGAGTTTTTCGAGGCCATGCCCCTAAACCCTGTCCTCCAAACCGAGCCTCGGTAGTCCTAATCCCATAAGACCCTACCCAAAGGCCCCCAAAGTAGTTCCTTGTTGGGATTACCTCAAAAGAAGGATTGTAAATATGAACCCCGAAAGGGAACTACTTTGGGGCCTATGGGTAAAGCCGGTAAAGCTCAACATCCCGTGACATGAAGGACGCTCCGAAGGCCACTAGCACTCCGACAGGCCGGCACCCGGAGATTAATATGTATGTATGTCTGTATTTGTGTACGTACGTATGTATGTATATGTGTGCATTCAATTGTATACATATTCATGTGCAGATATAGACATCATACCAAACCGTATCATCACATGTCGTATCGTACCATATCATGTACGTATGTTTAGGTGCACAAGCTGTTGTGTATGCACATATATGCATATTTTTGTGTATGTCTCTGCCTTTTTTGTATACAGACATCTACGCACCCATACACACACGATGTGTGTACTTATCTATATATATATATGTATGTATGTATATATATATATATACATATATTTATACATGCACGCATACACACAGCTACGATACACATGTACAATCATGTACACGTCCATGCATGCCGTACTCACATGGCTCCTTGCTATGAATCAAGGCTTTCATAATTCTTCAGGGGCCATGAGTCATCGTAACTTCCTGAAGGCCCTCAGGTTCCGAGTTCTGTTAGCGGTAGCACTTAGTGTGATATGTGATTTATTTGTTCCTTGGATTTCCCTTCAATGCTTGCCCAGAAAGGGTGGGCTGCAATACGCGCCCAGTGCATGTTCGGATTTTGCAGCAGGGAACATAACCAGTGAGTCCAGTGAGTCTTTGCTAGTTGGTCTTCTGTGATATTCCCTCCGAATGTTTAGCGAGGTCACGGCACAGGAAAGGTCTGCGTACAGCCGTGCATACAGTATGTCCAAACATGGATGCATATGCGTGTGTAAAGCAAGTAAGTATATAACACATATATCTATATATACGTATATATATATATAGAGAGAGAGAGAGAGACAGAAAGACAAAAGTCTGCATGTCTACCTCGCGAGCTTATGTCACGAATCGCTGGATAGATAGGGATATATGTGCATGTATGAACGAATGGAATCGGAATCAATGCGCTGAATTTAATGTAGTCTATGGCATCAATCTACGAATGTTACACTGGTTGTTTGCATCTTTGCGCATACGGTTGTGCTTGCACTAAGGAAATTACCCAGCTACTTATCTACCCTTTTGCATGCAAGAGTCATGCATGAATGCATGCATGCAGCATATCTCTCTCTCTCTATATATATATACATGTATATATATATATATATATATATATATATATATCGTATATTATAGTATAACGGTTTGACGCACACGTACACGCACACGTACATACATGCGTACCCACACACAGGGACATACCTTCGTAGATTCGTATACCTGTGCAGGCAGGCCGACAAGCATACACAGACATACAGGCACCCATTGTATGTGTATGTAATGAACATAGGATAGAATGCACATATGCATGCGGATACATATGTATCTGCACATACGCATTTGTAATATGTATGTGCATATATCTACATACTTACACACGTCTATACGTAGACACATATAGGCAAATATACATATCTACATTTATACGTTTATACATATGAACGTGTAGAGGTATATGCATATGCAACTTTACTTGCATACGCCTATGTGTATCTATATGTCCATGTCTATGTCTGTGCCTGTGTGTATGTGCATTGTATATGTATATGTGCATGCGTGTATGTACTGTACGTATGTACACATGTATAGATATGTGTGTGCTCGTAGCAACAAGATGACAGTACTGTTGCATGCGTCTCCACCGTGAGCTGTTTCTTTCCCAAGTTGCGCATACCAGCGCGCACACACACACACACACACAGAGGGACCCTTCGGGGGAGGGGGGGGAGGGGGCCTTAACAGCCCTGATCAGGACTTGATAAGGGTCGAATAGGACACTTTAATGAAGTATAGTACCCCGAAGGGTCCCTACGACACATACACACACACACACACTTTCTTCGTCTAGTCGTGTACTACTTTGTGAGGCGCCCGATGCAACCTAAACCACAGGCATCAGCACATTTCAGCACCAACTGTCGATACCTGTTCAATACTACTTAGAAGCCAACGGTCTCTACATGTCCATGGCCACTTCTGAGTCTGTTCGAGAGCCCCTAAGGAATTTCTGACATGAACGCAGCAAAACCACACACCACACGCTCGCTCTCTCTCTCTCTCTCTCTCTCTCTCTCTCTCTCTCTCTCTCTCTCTTTCACACACACACACACACATACACACAGACTGGCAGGCAGGCAGACACATGCACACGTGAGGATGTGAGGACGTCGTCAGAGGTGCTAAGCTCGACATTTCCATAAGCCAAAAACCCAGTCTCTTCAGGCGTCGAGGCCACTACGCGTGAGGCAAAACCGACGCCACGCGGGCTTAAAGGGATCCTTTAAGGGATTTAGTTTTCCTTTAAAGGGGATTACAAGGGTTGTTTTGATTTGAGGGATCTTCCAATTCACTGTTGGCTGGATTTTGTCTGTAGCGGCCAGGAAACAAGGACTCTTTGATGTAGAGTTTGATAGTTTGATGTTTTGACACCCTGTGTACATGGGTAAGTTTGTCAGCTGCCAAGACTTAAGATCATCTCTGACTCTAACACTTCACACACGCTCTATGACAGGCCTTTACAATAAAAATATAATACTGTTATTTCTTGCATTCTGGTTTTAAGAATTATTCTTCAAAAATACAAGAGGCGCTCGGCACTTCCTAGTTCGCGGTTGTTTTCTGCCCACGCCGGAATCAAACATTCAGTTGACCTCTCCACACGCACCGTATTCGGATTTGCGGTTTGGTCCCGCAAGGGTCCTCGTGGAGCAAAGTCGGCATTACAAAGTCATCTTACCGCACTCCCCCATAAGTGCCTTTTTGGGGTCATAAGTTATTGTTGTGTAGCTACAGCTCCCTGGTCCTTCCTTTGTCCTCCCTCGTTTGTTTGATAAAGGCCCTTCCGGGCCTTCTCGAACACACCATGTCTTAGTGTGGTTTGTGGCCTCTCTACTGGCCTAAATCTTCTACCTTAACCCTAAACCCGAAGCTGTAGGAATCTTCTAAGCGCTAAGCGACTTCATACCGTTCCCAAGGCCTGCGGTTGCGACTGAGCAGAAATCGGACAACCCGACACTCTTGCAGGCGGCCCGGGATGTCGTACCTGGCCCCAAATAGCCTAACATAGGAGTCAGATTAAGAATCCTTGGGTCGAAACTAAAAAAAGGGTTTTCATAAAGAGCCGTAATGTTTTAGTGTTATTAGGCCGGTCTCTTATTTAGGTCCCTGCATTACCTTTGTGGGGTTGCTTATAATGCTTCAGGTTGAACTTATGATATGGGCCTAAGAAACTACCAATATTCTGTTGGGGTTTTATATGTTTAGTTCGAGTATAGGGCACACAGCTGGGATGATCAGAGCAGGGTTTGGGGGTCCAATAATATAGTTCTAACTATTGCAGGCAGGCTGGAAATGGTACCTGGACCCCAATTTTTTGGGGCTCCTTGTCATCATTTCTTTTCTAGAAGTCCTGAGAAATGTAGGTCTTATTGTTGACGGTTATGCTGGACTTTCAGGGTTTGGGCTCTCGGAGTTGCACGCACACAGTCCTAACCCCTGCACTCCGATGTCCAACTTCCTCGCACTTAATCTCAAAGGTCTATGACCCGTTTCTAGCTTACAGCCCCAGACTGCAAACCAGGGCTCCAGCGTGCCAAGCACTTTCGGAAGCACCGGGGCAGCACGCCTCCGTGAGCGGCTGCGCTGCAAAGTGCTTCTTGGTTCGTTTTAGCTTGAGGCTCCGGGTTCGATTCAGGATCGAAGCTGGACGGGGGGCTTTACCCTGCACAGGGCACATACCCATTGAGCTTGCCGGAATAGACTTAAAACTTAGTGGTGCTGCGGGCAGGGGGAGAGAAAAATCCGACATAGCAGTACAACTCTTCCCAAAGACGCGGCAGTACTACTACTACTACTACTACTACTACTACTACTACTACTACTACTGCTACTACTACTACTACTCCCTATACCTCCAATCCCTGCCTAAGCCGTGACAAGAGATTCTTGGATCTTGGGTGCCCCTAAGCTCTCATATCGGAGGCCTGAAAAGGTGGGATGAAGGTAGGTAGGATTAAGGATCCCTTATATAAGGACTCTTAGTTGGGGACATCCCACCTACCTTCATCCCACCTTTTTCGGCCTCCGAACATAGACAAGTACTGAGCTTCGGGCGCTTTCGGAAGCCGACGAGGGATGCATTCAGGATCGAGCACGGTTGTTTTGTATTAATTTATGTTCTACTATAATATTATGTTAAGATAGCATCTTATATCCGTGCTACACCATAAGTATATTCGACCATATACTATGCTATATTGCACTCAGGATCGAGCGCCATCGCCAGCAGGCAGAGCAGGCCACGACTCCATCTTCGCAGGACCGTTTGAGGCTTTATGGGGGCAGGAACTTATATAAGGGGTTTCAGGGTTTAGGGGGGCTTAGGGTTTAATTAGGGTATATGTATGATGCTGGGGTTTCAGGGTTTTAGGGCTCAGGGGGGGCTCAGGGTCCAGGGTATCTGTGTAATCCTGGGGTTTGTGGATTTTGGCCCAGCAATGCACGACATTCACGAGCCTTGGAATGGCAGGGGAGATTATGAGGAGTCAGGTAGCTGCAAGTTTTGCAAAAGGTAGTTTCGCTGCCTGTGAAGTAACCACAGTGGCAGCCATCTGACTGACTGTTAACCATCGTCGTAGCAGTCAGCGCTTCTGTGAGTTTGAACAACGTGTACCGGGCAACAACCATGGTGATGCTCAAATATAGCAGCCAGATGACGACAGCAGGAATATGTCGTAGCAGCACAAGAAGTTTTAGTTAAAGCACCTGGTGAGAACACTGCAAATGAATGCATTCTCGTAGGAGTATTGTGAACAGGACTTGTGTCATACTATCAACAGCAGTGCTTGTAGCAGACCTTCAGCGCTAGCACGACCAGCAGCAGCAGCAAGAGCAGAATCATTGCAGCACTTACAGCAACAGAGAAGCAGCTGCAGCAGCGCTGAGGACCAGGTCCAGCAGCATAGCAACAATGATGCTTGTCATCGTGGCCAGCGCCGCAGGAGAGCTCTGGTAATGGCCCGGATCCGGTGGAACCAGCACCGAAGAAGGAGCCGGGGCAAGTCTCAAGTCACTTGGGTTTCCTGTTTGTTCTTCGTGGTCAGGTTGGGGGTTCAATGCCATAGCTTTCCACTGGAGTCCGGTTTGGTACATGATATCGATGCGGCACACCCATGCAGAGATGGCTGCTGGTGTATGCACATGCCCAGATGCTATTGCAGCCATACCATGTCAAGGATCTCAAGAACCTGAGCGCACTAGCGAAAGCCTGTCCGCCGGACAGAACAACGGAAAACCCTATACCCGATGGCCCAAGCATTTCTCAATGAGATGAAACTCGAACCCTGAACCCGAAGATCTCGATTTCAGGAGAAGAAATCCAAGAACAAGAAGGCCCAGGCGAAGAAGGAGGAGGCTGTCGTCAAGAAAGAGCCCGAGGCACCCTCCCGTCTGTGAAGCGTCTTCCCTGTCCCCCATACTTTTAGACCACAACGAAGCTATGGAGGCTTAGAGAGTTCCGACATGGGCTTTAGGGCATATAGAGGGCTGCAACCCTGACAGCATCAAGCAGGCGAAGGCGCAGGCAAAGCCGGAGGAAACAGCGCCACCGGCTCCAGCCGCTCCACCGTCTCCTGCTCCAGAGACACCAGCAACCCCAGCACCAGCTCCAGCGAATGAGCCTTGGCTGCCTTTCTTACCCATGCTAATTCTGCTTTACCGGGCTATTTATGCATTCTGCTTGAAATGAAGCTGCACAGTGAGGGTGATCTACGCAAATCAGCATCCAGCTCTGAAGTCTCCCAGCTGGGAGGCAATCTGACTTAGAGGCTTCGTCGGAATGTAGGACTTCATAGAGTTGTGTCAGCACATTAAAAAGATTTGAGTCCGAAGCTTAACGCCCAATGGCTAAACTCTCAAACCACCAAACCCCAAACCTTATGCAGCCTTCACCCAGCACGCACAGGATGGGACCACTGTCGAGGCGCCTTCGGTTGAGCAACCTTCCGCTGCGGAGAAGGATGCTCCCGTCAAGGTTGAGCAGGCAAGACTTTCGCAAGTTTAGGGCCCTGGGTATGTAAGACTGTACGATAGTACTTAAATTTAAATTATATACCACGCTATACTATACTATATGCTGTGCTATGCTGCACTGCAGTCTCATCTAATGTAAATTGGGTTGGGGACATGACATGAGGTTGTTGATGCCGGACGCAAGTGTTTAAGGCTTATGATGGGTCAGATAATTGGAGCACCAGGGTTGTCTCATCTTCGAGGCATTGCGCACGTCAGCCGCCCTCATATCGACAGAAAGAAGCATAACGTAGAAGACGCTCCTGCAAGGAAGTCTGACGGAGACGGTGATGCTGGGAATTAGTGTTACCGTGATCTGGTCGTCGTCGTGGTGGTGGTGGGACGGAGTAATTTAGGATTAAGAGGAGGTGGTCGTGTGGTCGCCGTAGCCCTAGTCGTAGTCGTCGTAGTGGTGGCGGTAGTAGCTGTTGCCGTTGTTGCTGCGGTTGTTGTTGACATAGGAGTGAGTGTCCCGGTGCTAGTAGTAGTAGTAGTAGTAGTAGTAGTAGTAGTAGTAGTAGTAGCAGTAGTAGTAGTAGTAGTAGTAGTAGTAGTAGTAGTAGTAGTAGTAGTAGTAGTAGTAGTAGTAGTAGTACCGGGACTATAGTACCAGTCGTATTTGTACACGAATGTATTGGTACTTGCGACAGCATTCATGTTCGCTTGTTTCTGACCTTGAGCCTAACTGGGTTCAGGGTCCAGGTGCTGCGTTTTACCGTTACGGTGGCAGGCAACTTCGAAGAAGAGCAAGAACGCCAAGGCCAAGAAGGTGCCGATGCTTCGAATCGGCAGCGTGGGCAGGGCGGAGGATTTCGTGTTTCGGTTTTTAGGTTTGAGATACAACGAGTATGGCGTTAATGGTTTAGAGTCCAAGGTTTAGAGTTCGCGGCTACACGGGATTCAGCATGGAAGCTTCTGAAAATCAGGGCCCCAACAGTGTGGTCAAGGGTTTACGGTTACATTTTGCACACCCTAAGTAGACAAGACTTTTTGTAGGCGTTGGGGTTGGGGGGGTCCTTTCAGGGCTAGTTCTGCGCCGAGTCTCGTTGATCCAGCATTGATTTTTGGGGGTTTTCATGGCTCCGGATTCAGCCACAAAGCTGCATGACGGCACATTGCAGGGAGTGTTTTCGCCGTGTGAGGCCGAGACAAGACCCGCGGAGAACAACTCCCGCACCGCCAGCAAGGATCGGATAGGGTGTGGGTTTAGCATCTGTCTGTGGGACTTACGGGTAGTAGGTTGCAAATCAGAACAGCACAAGCGACATCACTGATAACGGTATTTGATAGTAACCCTGCACCGACATCCCCAAACCCTACCGGCCTTGTAGTATTTACGCAAAGCAACAGCAAGCGCAGGAAGCAGCTGTGAAGCCGCCCGCGGCACGCAAAGCTGACCCGGAGGTCGAGGTGCACGGGGGGGGGCGCGGGAGACGATTTCTGGGTCAGAACCTGAGACTAGACTAAACACGCCATCAGGAAACTGATAGATACGGACACACACCGTGCATACTCGTATGTACTCTATATACCAAGCACATGTAGGCAAAACTGTTACTGCATGAATTCCCGTCCCACAGTCCAGCAGTCTTGATATACGTCTCACGTCATCGCCCCGAACATTCAAACCCACACGCTTGTCTCAATCCTCAGCTTCAAGTTTGGCTCACAAGAGCAGTTTTAGGCTCTGGACCTTGTCAGCGGACGACGTGCATCGAGCTGTCCCTCCTTTCCTTTCAACACGCCCGTCCTAACAAGCAAAACGCCTGTCGACCAGGCATGCCAACATAGTGCATGTTGGGTTGAATGCAAGTCTGGTGCCTCGTAGCACCAAAACCTTTGACCTAAACGACCCTAAACCCGAAATCCCCCAAAATCCATAAAGGAGCCCTTCAACAATCTAAATCCAAAGCTGCTCCTTTCAACCCGCCTGGCCTTAATGATTAGAACAGGGTCTTGTGGCCCATGATAGTAGTATCATAATAAGGAGCCCCCCAAAAAGTATTGGTAATTACTTAGGCCCCCCAAACTCCGAAAGATCCCTTAACCCTGAACCCCACATCCCAAACCCTAAACCCTATAACCCTAAACCCTATAACCCTGAACCCTATAACCTGCACCTTAAAAAAAAAAAGAACCCTATAACCCGAAACCCTATAACCCTAAACCCTAAAGCCCAGAAAGATCCGAACAAAAACTTCCAAAGGCCGCGCTTCAGCGCCTGGCACGGCAGCCCCTGGCCAAGCCCTCCCTGCGCGGCCCAGAGCTCCTTCGGGAGGCCCCGTTACGCGCAGATCCCTATACCTTAAGGATTTAGGGGTTTAGGGATTTAGGGTTCTAGGGGCCTATACCTTAAGGGTATTAGGGGTTTAGGGTACAGGGTTTAGGGGCCTATACCTTAAGGGTTTAGGGGTTTAGGGTACAGGGTCTTGGGGGTTTAGGGTTTATAGGAAGGCTGTATGGCGATAATTTGTTCATTCGTTCAAACACCTGCCGAGCAAGAGGAGCGACAAGGTAACGAACCATACAGTTGTAATCGTCATTGCACTCAAGAAGACAACTCCTGTCAGCACCACAACCGCCAAAACCATTGACCGCGACAAGCACAAGCTTCGTCGATCTCGTTTGCGAGTTTCCGAAACTTAGGGGTACCTTTTTGGGGGTCCTTCCAATAAGGATCCTACTATGTGGGGTACTATATTAGGATCCCCCATTTTCGAAACTCCCATTTAGTTTGTTATTCAGCGTCACGCACCAACATCGTCTTGATCATAGTCATATTCTTGTTTTCATAATCTTCATCATCTTCATCATCAAGCAGTTTCAACTTCAGCATCACCATCATCACCGTATGCCTTCGCGCCATCATCATCATCATCATCGTCGTCATAGTCATCATCACCGTGCGCATTCTGATCATCATTGCCACCATATCCGTGTGTTCAGAATGTCCAACACCTGCAAGACCGTCAGTAGCTCGCCAATGCAGTGTGTCTGTGTATTGTATCCCATCTGGTCTCCATGATGAGCATGCAGCCATGTTCATTCATGGTCAGTCCTCTTAGCATGACAACATGACTTCCAAATCAGGAAGAGAATTCACACAATCACAGCTATTTGCCTGCTATCACATTTGACATACGGAGATCTTGAATCCTAGAAGAAGCCCTATGCACCTGAAGGTGCCCTCCTCTCTTCCCGGGCCCGAATAAAACCTCCCAAGCCGTCCTATGAGGAGCCCGAAGCCCAAAAGCACCCACAAGCCTTAAGCCCCCAATAACCCCTAGACCAGAAACGCCCTCAACCTTCAAAGCCGTAAACACCAACAAAAACTGAACCAGAAACACCCCAGCCCTAACTGAAAGCCCTGAACCCAAAAAGTGCTAAAGACTCCAAAACACAACTAAACACTCTGAACCAGGCAAAAAGGCACTAGACACTCAATAACCCGAGGCCCAGGAGTTGCTTTCGCGCTTGGAAGCAGAGGACCTCCTGAAGCAGCTCGAGACCGAGGAGGCTCGAGCTTACCCATACTTAAAGGGTCAGGGGACTTAGTAACTCGGGTGATATATTTAAGTACTGGTAACCCCAATTATGGTACTTATAACCTTACTTACTAAGTCCCATGATCCTCCAAGTAGGCCCCGTGGTAGTTCCTTTTTGGGAATACGTTGTAGGATTCTGAACATGAGCCCCCAAAAAGGAACTACTATGGGGCCTATGGGTAGACGTTGGATTAATAATAATGTAGGAACCTGATCAAGAAACCTTGGGCCTTTATCAGGGTGCCTTCCTTATATGAACCCTACTATTTTGGGAGTAGAGGCCCAGGGTTTCTTAATCAGGTTCCTACATTACCCAGCCTAGGCCCTTATTCCCTTTTTAGGGTCCAGGTTCCCTTACAACTCCCTTTATATAAACCAAAAAGGGCACCTTGTTTATTCCTAGCTTACTCTTGGGTCTAGGAATAATACAATGCTAGTCATACAAAAACTAATACAACAACACTAACGACAGTAAAGTGTAAGTTTGAAGCGCCCTAGGAACCCCCCATTAAGGGATCTACTTTTCGAATCCCCCCAAACCGGCGAGCCTTCAACGGCACTATCCGGCCATGGACTTAACAGAGCTGAGCCGCAACTCCTTACCCAAATCTTGCTACAGAGCCAAAGGCCCCAATTCGTCCGAAACCTTTAAATTTAAATGTGTACTTTGTATGTATATATATATACATATACATATACATATACATATACATATACATATACATATACATGTACATATATATATATATATATACATATTCTCAAATGTAAAATATATCTCAAGTTGCTTGTCGGCCTTTCGAAGCGACGTTGCCTTGCAGGAGCACGCGCGTCGTGCCGCAGGCCCGGGGGACCTTCCTGGTTTCGGGGAGCTCGGATTGTTATATTGCAATAATGTCTTGGGCACTGCCCCCCACTCGGAAACAGTTGGATAATATTCATAATATAGATATAGGTCCTTAGTAGTAGCGCTATTACAGACTGTTACTGTATGGGGGCCGTACCCAGTTAATGTCTTTAGGAAATAGGCTTAGGATTGTGGCGTTTGGGTTGCTGGCCAAGACTCATACTTGGTTCCGCTAGTGGGGAGTCTTGAAAGGCTTCCGAGGGTCTGCGGCACGCGGCCCCTTTTTAAATGCGACAGCTGCTGACTCGAAGAGGTTTGTGCTTGAGCCTTGCAGGTGTAGAGCTGAGATGGTTGTCGATGCACCTCCTACTGCCCTTCTAGAGTTCCTTACTACCAGCGTCATGTAGAATACAGCAATACGGCAACACTGTAATAGTACTAGTCCTGAATGTTCCTGATCATGACTAAAATTGCATACTCCGGAACCCTTCTTGCAACTGTGGAGGCGCCGAAATTTTCACTCCAGTTCGTAAAGACAAATGAGTCGTATTAGCATCCCCTTGTAGTCCGTTTAGAATAATTAGTTCAATATACTACAAAACCTTCCTAGTGCCCCTGTACCTGTGTTCTACTATCATATGTGCCGAAACCCAATGCCTATTCCTACGGCTGATGATAAAAAACATCCTGCATGACTCATAATAAGGAATATACCATAATTACCATAGCCTAGGGTCCTTAAGGTAATGCAGGCTTTTTATCATCAGCCTTAGTATTGTGGTCCCTAGCTTAGACGGAGTCCCCCATTCTTCGGCCAACAGCTCCACATAGATTCACCCCAACTCTTCCGATCGACAGCCTTCTTGGGGGTCGGGGGACTTAGTAAGGGCTCCTTTAAAGGGGATTGTAAGGGTTCCTTTAAAGGGCTCTATAAGGGTAGTATAGGGTTTAGGGGTCGGGGGACTTAGTAAGTAGTTAGTAAGTAGACGTATAAGTACCCTAAAAGGGACCCTCGTTGGGGTTATGGTACTTATAAGTCCCTAAAATAACCAGTTACTAAGTCCCCCGACTCTCCAAATTGTGCCTGTGGCCCTTGGACACCTACACACATCAAAATGCTTGGAGGCTCATTATAAGTAGAGTTATAATTAGGGTAGCTGTACTTATAACCCATATTAGGGGACTTATAACCCTACTTATAACTACTCATGAACCTCCAAGTGTGAGGCAAGAAGAAGGCCAAGAAGAACAAGGCTGCTGCAAGGGCCAAAGCCAGCGCGAAGCTGCTAGGCGGCAGCTGCTTCTGGCTTACCGTAAGGCTCAACATAGCCTTCCTTTAAAGGGATCTTTAGGGTTTCTCTAAGGGTATGGGGGGTTTGGGGCTACTTGGAGGTTCATGGGTAGAAAGTAGGGTTATATGTCCCCTAATATGGGTTATAAATATAGTTACCCTATTTAGAACCCTACTTATAACTACCCATGAACCTCCAAGTAAGGCTCAACATAGCCCAAAAGCCTCATATATAGTATGGTCTTTTTGCGCAAGAGCCTTAAACTTTAGCCTTAAACTATAAGTCCTTGGAGCCTCAGGGTTATGGCTCTGAACTCTGAACCCCAGTCTGCTGGGGTGTTGACCACCAGCACCAAGATGAGGAGAGCTGTTTGCCAGCTTTGCTGCTGTACAGGGGTAGTGTAGGAACCTGATTAAGAAACCCTGAGTCTTTATTAGGGTTCTTTATATATGAATCCTACTAGTTTGGGGTTATAGGCCCAGGGTTTCTTAATCAGGTTCCTACATTAACTACGGGGTTCAGAAGGGGGCAAGATGAGGCCGAAACTTAACGTTTCAAACTCACAAACCCTAAGCAGAAGCACCTTCTGCTGAATCTTCCGTTTCCCAAGACGGGCACATGCTTGCTTTCTTCTTTCTTCACTGCTCATCCTACCATATCCTACGACAACAGCAACTACGACAATAGCAACGAGAACGACGACGACGACGACGACTACTACTACTACTACTACTGCTACTACTGCTACTACTGCTACTGCTACTACTACTTCTTCTACTACTAGTATTTCTACTTTTCCTTGAGCTATACTCCTACCAATGCGTACCCAAACCATGAACCTCGAAGACCCTCAAGCCCGAGAATCTCCCAAGACAGTCTCTGGAACAAGTGTAGTAACATACCCATAAGCTCCATAGTAGTTCCTTTTGGGGTTCATGTTTACAATCCTATAAGGTATAATCCCCAAAATAAGCAATTCCTATGGAGCCCCTGGGTACTTCGATATCCTCAACTTTTAGCGCGAATTTCACGCAGAAACTACCCACAGGCCCCAAAGTAGTTCCCTTTCGGGGTTCAATTTTAGAATCCTATACGGCAAATCCAAAAAGGAACTGCTTTGGGGCCTATGGGTGAACCAGAGGAAGCCACTTGAAACAGCCGGAGCAATAAATTTCTCAACCTCAGGAAGGGCCAGAAGGGCGAAGCACCCGTGGAGGTGCTAAAGGCCACGCTTCCCGGCACAGAGGCCCGAGGAGGAGGGTTTAAGGAATATCTGGGAGAACCCTAAACCCTAAACCCTAAACCCGAAACCCTAAACCCTAAACCCTAAACCCAATCCAATCGGAGTGTCGGGCTTTTAGAACTTCCAGAGTCTCCAGAGCTCCACAGAGTGTGCCGCCTGCCTTATCTTGGGGTGCCTGCCCGGAGTGCCCACCGGAGTATCCCGCAAAAGTCTCCTTGGAGGGCCAGCCCACAAGCCATCCTGCAGAGTAATATGGGGGTTTCCGAAACTAGGGGGCACCTTGAATTGGGGTCCTTGTAATAAGGATCCTACTATTTAGGGTGCTATATTAGGGTCCCGTATTTTCGGAAACTCCCATATAGGGGCCTTCATAATTACGTACTACTTTGGGGGCTCCTTATTCTTAAGCACAGTATAATGGGCGCCCAAAGCCCCAATCTCGTATTCAAGGCCCCTATGTTGGAATTCTGGCTTTTCCAGGGCTGCTGTTCCGGGTGTGGGTTTTGTTCTCCTTCTGACGAGGACCAGACTTTTATCAGAGCCGCTGTTTTGTTGTCATGTATTTCACTCTTTTTAGGACTTCGGGCGCGAAACTATCGACCAGTGAGTGTGTGTGTGTGTGTGTGCGCTTCATGATTGCGGCGGTCTGTTTGGGCATTCATGTTTACGGTGTTTGTGGGAGTTCGAAGACGTTTGGTGCATGGATTCAGAATACGGGGTTTGGGGTTCAGGCTGGTGGCTGTGGTGGCTGAGTGCTCTCGGGCATTTGGCACATGCAATGCTCTGCTGTCGTCCCACTACTGTTCAGGACCCTTAGAGTTCAGGATGACTTCCCGATGCCGGCATCAAACCCGCCGAAGGCCGACGCTGAGGACGAGAACGTGGAGATCGAAGAAGAAGAAGAAGAGGCAGATAATTAAGTACATGCATATGCATATGCATATATATATATATATATATGAAAATAACACACTCTATGTACAATATGTATACACAATATGTGGCATCAAACAAAAACATTCACACAGATAAATAATCAAACACTCAAACAAACAAATAAACGAGTCCGTATATATGTACATATGTATATATGTATATATACATACACATGTACATATACATATACATATATACATATACACAGTATGCATATGCATATACATATACATATACATATACATATACATATACATATTGTTTATGTGTTACATATGTATAAATACATATGTGTATATGCATATAAATATATATGTATAAACACACAGTTTATGCATTTACAGGCCAAGCAAGGCAGAGGGATTGGGATGCATGGTGACGAGTCAGAAGAAAACCTTTCATGGCCGCTATGGTGCAGTCCAGTGTGTTACGCTCAACATGCTGCCAGATTCCCACAGCACGGTGCACAAGCATCCAACCCCTCAGCTGGTAAAGATGTCCAGCAGCAGCTCAGCTTTGAACTCCTAATCCCTAAATTAATGGAGTTTGTAAACATAAACAAGTTACGCCGAAAAAGCTTCGACCCCACTGATCATTCGGCTTCGAGAATCCGTATAAATGTTTGGGCGCGGGCGAGAAGACTCTGCTTGTAAGCAGGGAAATTAGAGCTGTAGGACTGTAGGAGAGGAAGCAGCTGCAATGCGAAGACGATCAGGACAACGATCTCGCAGGTGAGGTGACGATACTGAAGACCGTCAGAACCTGCATGAGGTCTACAGTGCTAGTAATCAACCGTCACCCTCACAAAAAGGAGCCCTGTGTGGCGCTACACTCTGAGACCTCACCCTGAACAGTGTGACTTAAATTCTACAACTAAGTCGGAGAGGTCGCTTCTGAGCCTTCTGTGATCAAGCTGGAGGAGGCTGACAAGAAGGAGTCTGAGGAGGACTGTGGCAGGGAACCAAAGGATTGTAACAAGCAACATCAAATCTGCAGTTTAAGGAACGAGAATAACAGGATCCCTAAGGGGGCTACTGTAGCAGGCGAAGGCGGGGTATGAGTTTCGCTGATTATGGCTTAACCTTCTGCTGCTGCTTCTCCTGCTCCTCCAGCCACCGCAGCGACTGCTGCTACTATGACGACCACCATGACAGGAGACTACTACCAATAGGTTATCATTATTATTCTTACTGCTACTACTACTACGAAGACGACTACTACGACACCTGCTCCTGCTGCTAACTGCTCCTACTCCGCCTCCTGCTCCATCCTCCTCCTCCTCCTCCTTCTCCTACCACTACCACTACCACTACCACTACTACTACTACTACTACTACTACTACTACTACTACTACCGCAACAATACAAGTGCAACTACTACTACTACTACTACTACTACTACTACTACTACTACTACTACTACTACTCCTGCTGCTGCTACTACTAATACTACCACTACTATTACGACGACTACTACTACTACTACTACTGCTAATACTGCTACTACTGCTACTACTGCTACTACTGCTACTACTGCTACTACTGCTACTACTGCTGCTACTGCTACTGCTACTACTACTACTACTACTACTACTACTACTACTACTACTGTAGTTCTACTACTACTACTACTACTACTACTACTACTACTACTACTACTACTACTACTACTACTACTACTACTACTACTACTACTACTACTACTGCTTTTGTTGCCGCTGTTTTTCAACAACAACAACAACAACAACAACAACAACAACAACAACAACAACAACAACAACAACAACAACAACAACAACAACAACACCACAGCCGTGGCTGAGGCCAACCAGAGAAATCATGCGATTCTGGATTGCAACATTAGAACCGCGAAGCAAGAGTTTCTGTATCATCAGCAATGAATGTCCCTGCATCGGAATGCCCTTAACCCTAAACCTGTTCTGCAGGAATCCACAGAGATGCACAGCTCCGACGGCCACGACACCCACAGCTCTTCCGCAGCTTCGGACGAGGAACGGTGTGCCAAGAACGCTCCGGCAGTCAGCATCGCGGAGGAGAGGGCAGCCGCATGGAGACTACTTTTTTTTTTGCAGGTCTCTCACTGGTTGAAATTACAGCGAGTTTGCTGACTTGGTCCTGTTGTGATATACTGCCCTAAGGCTCTTGAACCCTTGTAGTGATCCCAAACCCAAGCCCCCAAGCCGACTCGGGCAGACGTAAAAGTCACCTCAAAAGCCGAAGCCCTCCCCCAGAAAGTCCAAGACCCCCTTAGGAGCCTTAGGGTGTGTAGCGACATTCCGGCGCGTGATATCAGCAGGTGCGGCTGATGGTGGCTCCCATAATATCAAAACAAGTATGACGAACAAGTGGTGTTGTAGGAGCAGGTGGTGTAGTATTACAGAGCGTGGCATGATACTCCGGTTCGTTACGTTTGGACGAAGTTTTGGTCTCTCTGCTCCATGACGTGCGGTCCCAATACATCTAACTGCAGGCGATTTAACTCAGTTGCATCGTTTGGTAACCCATGAGGAAAACGTGGGAACACAGCTTTGCAGGTATCTCTGCGTATCTGTTGCTCCAGAGGTCTTTGATATGTGGAGTTGGTTTACCAAGCTTCGAAAGAAGAAGGCATCATCACCGACGAAGGGAAGTGAACCATCCTCACGGCGCAACCTGAGAAAGCCTCCACACGCCACACCCCGAAGCTCGCAACCCCGAACGCCGAGAACCTCAACTTCGTGCCTATGCCCCAAAAGCCTACACTCTGCTTTGTCGCAATGCTCGGCCTCTCACGCTCACCTCGCAAGACCATTCCTCAGCCATTGAGGCATTGGAATCATTGGAATCGCAGGATTGTTGCCGAATTACTTCTGAACCCAAAGGAGCGAGGCAAGCAGAAGAAGCTGGACCGGTTGCAGCGTACCGAGGCGACGCAGCCAGATTTCACCAAAATCGGCTTTTCCTCCGGCTAGCAAGCCGCACCGTTCCCAAAGGGTCCTAAGTACCTATCTGATGGAACTGTCTATCTATATATGTATGTATGTATCTATATGGATGAGAGATACTAGCCCAAACTATCATAGTACTTCCTACATTCTTATCGCCTCGAGGATTGCCCCGTCGGTCGGAGTTAGAGATAAGACTAACGGAGGTTCTTCCGTAGGCTTGTTCTCAATTTGACAGTAATGGTTACTGACGGCTGTGACTATAGTAGAACTTAGGTACGGCCCCCATACAGTAAGAGTCTATAATACTATTAAGGTCCTACTATATCTATATTATTAACATTATTCAACTATTACTGAGTGGGGACCGTACCTAAAGTAGAACTGGTCTGCAAGAATCCCCGGTTGGCTTCTTTTGCGCTGACAGGCCGTGCGCGAGGCCAAAGTGGAGGCAACCTCTGCATCCTCTGAGCACTCACGCTGCGCATGGGTAGTTCTCTAAATTAGGGTCCCCTTGTAGGGCTCCTTAAAGGGATCTATGAGGGTTTCTATAAGGTTACTATGAGGGTAGTTCGCTAGACTAGGCTCCTTTTTGAACGCAAAAGAAGGCGGCGCCCTGTAAAACAAAGGACCCTAATTTGGAGAACTAGCCACTTGCTGGCAGGACAATGAGTTGCACATTCCTCCTGTCCTGCCCCTGCTCCTAGTGCGACTTTCCACCGCCTACATACATGCAAGGTCCGAGAGCCTAAAGACGAGAACATTGTGTAGGTTGTAAAATCAACTCCCTGATACAGGCCACCACCGAGGAATCGTCGGCATCGGCTGATGCCTGCTTCAACGGTGCTCTCGCCGGCGCACAAATTTTAGTGACTTGGCAGAAGACATCAGTAAAGTTCACAGACGATTGTTGGTAGATGTCGGGAGTTGGCTGGGGATTTAGAGTGTCTGGTCGCTTGAGAAGATTGCGGATTCCATCACAGACGCGGGCTTGCTCAAAATGGAAGTCGCGACGCTAATGACTACCAATATCTATATAGTTATACCTTGGTTATCATCTACAGCAACGACAGCAACAGCATCAACATAAACAGCAGCAGCATTATCAATAATAACAAAAACATTCAAAGCCGCAGCCGCATCCAACAAACGACGGACAACAAACAACCCACAACGACCACACACCACTACGACCGCGACCACGACAACGACAACAACTGCGAAACCACGACAACCGCGACGACAACGACAACAACCACAACAACGACGACGACGACTACTACTACTATTGCTGCTACTAGTGCATTATCATCTTTCTATAATTTCACTATTACTTCATCTTCAGCTTCCTATCCTCCACCATTATGCAAGATTCTGCGCTGAGGACTTCTTGAGGAGTGGCAAGCCCGACAAGGACTCGGTGCTCAGTAACTCAAGGATGTCAGGCTCACTCAACACCTGTTTTCAGTCTCGGGAAGTCGCTCCCGAGTAGAACAATTGAGATTGGATTCAAGGATGTAGGAGGTTGAAGGTTTGCAGAGCTCACAAGTAAGAAACGGCTTTCCTGCTAGGAGACGCGTGCCGAGCCAAGCCGCAAGAACAAGAACAAGAATCGCCAGCACCACGGCGTGCGTTTGCGTTGTGGGATATTGTAGTTTCATGTCGGTTGAGGAACCCCGGTTACTGGGGCACTTCTGCAATTTAAACCGTGCCAAGACATGCCCTGAAACCCTGGAGCTGTGAAGCCTCAAGCCTTAGAGCTCCCGTCCTACTCACCTACAGCTTCGAACCCCAAAGCGCAAAAGCTGCATCCCGAGATTATCTCAACCTGATCTCTAAGCCTCACAGCACGCAAACCTTCCTAGAACAAGTCGCCCTAAAGCCTTAAGCGTCCCTACCCTAAGGCCCCAAAGTAGTTCCTTTTTGGGGTTCTTTTTCAGAATCCTAGAAGGCAATCCCAAAAAGGAACTACTTTGGGGCCTATGGGTAAGCCGTAACGCCGTCAGCTTTTCTCCCCCAAAAGCCCAGGCAGAAGGAGCCGGAAGCTCCTGTGCAAAGCAAGGTCCAGGCCAAGGCGAAGGCCGGTTTCAACTTTCTGACTACTACTAATGATCATTTCTTCTATTTCTACTACTACTACTACTACTACTACTACTACTACTACTACTACTGCTGCTACTACTACTACTACTACTGCTACTACTACTACTACTGCTACTACTACTACTACTACTACTGCTACTACTACTACTACTTCTACCACTACCACTACCACTACCACCATCACTGCCTCCACTACTCCGACTGCTACTGCTGCTACTGTTACTGCTTCTGCTACCACTGCTACTGCTCAACACTCCCGTGCCTACCCCTAAAAGTTGTGTTGATTGTAAGATTCCTGAAAACCAGAAGGATTCTTTTTTGGGGTGCAGGTTGTACTCTCAGGGTTTGCAGGAGGTTTTAACTTGTTCTTAAACTTGAATGTTCGCGGGCTTTGGTTCTACGGCTTCAGGATTTTACCGTCTTCGAGTTTAGGGTTGAGTGCAAGTCTTCGGGTGACGTTGTGTTGTGGGCGCCGTGGTGCTTGACTAGTGCTGCTCCTCACTTTCGGCTTCAAAACCTACTTATGGTCTCCATTGTAGTTCCTTGGTTTGGTTAACTAATTTCCATTACAGGATCTTAAGCCGGAGGCTTTAGGCAGACCCAATAGAGCCTTGAGCGGCAAGGCCACGCCAAAGCCTGTGGAGAAGGTCCAGCCAAAGGTGCCGGTCAAAGCAGAGACTGGGTCCTTGTTAAGGTGTCTAGGGTTTATTAGGGTTTAGGGTGCAGGGTTAAACTTAAGTTACCATGATAGGGTTCCAAAATGAATAACATGGTTTCCCAATTTTGGTGGCTTCAAGAACCCAGGAGACCAAAGCAAAGGCAGAAGAGAAGGAGAGTGGCTCCTCAGAGGACAGCAGGGAAAGTCAAGAATAACCCAAACTCTAAAGCCCTCACATCGTCAGACGTTTTCACGTTTCGGCTTGGGTAGCAGGAGGCCCGACCATAGGTGCATCTGAGCTTTCAAGACGTCCCTGTGCGGTAATTTCAACCCGAGCCTGCCTCACGTGACTGACCAGACTTGCAGGCATTCAAGCTCAAGCTTAAACCTCCAGAAAATGAGCACCCAAGGCCCCAGCTCAAAAAACAAACAACAGAGGTTTAGGGTTCAGGAAAAATGCCAAACCCAACCCCAAATAAACATAAATCAACGTCCTTGTAGGACTCCACGGAGATGCACAGCTCCGACGGTCAAGACTCCCACAGCAGCTCCTTCTCCGTCTCGGACGAGGAGAGTGGCAAAAGAGTCGAGGCAAGAATGTCGTGAACGATCCATCTATAGAGTTAAAGGTACGTAGGTGTCTGTGACTGTGTGCGTGCACGTGCTTTTGTGGCGGGTTTGGGTGCTTTGGGGCTCAGGATCTACCCTGGGGCTTCTAGGGCCAGGGCTCGGATGATAGCATTGCAATGCTGGAATCCGGGGCCCCAGGCTTTCGTAGTAGGTCGGGCTCGATAGCCTCGACCTCCCACCTCCAAAAATCGTGAACCCTCAGCTCGCATAGCCTTCAGTCTTTAGCCCCCTCAACCATCCCAACCCCAAAACCCGGAACCCAATGCTACAGTGCAACAAGCTCTTCGGCGATCGCTTGATGACTGCGCCTACGCGCGTTCCATACATCTTGCAACTGTACGGCAAAACAGTTGGCAACGCTTGGCACTCCCCAAAAAACACCCTAAACCGAAAACCCAGAAAAGGGCCGCTGCACCTTAAACAAAAAAAAACCTCGAAAATCCTGAACCAGACAGCCTTTCCAGAGCCCTTTTTGCCCTTCTCCCCAAAGCCCATTCTAGTGATTCTGGGTTGTGCTTTGGGATAATTTTTAATTTCCCTTATTTCCTTATAAAGGGAACCTATTCAGAAATAATTTTCAAAGGGTTTAAAGCACAACCCAGGATTTCAGCTCCAGCCCTGAGCCTGAAACCCCTCAGCCCGATAACCCCTATGTTGTTATAGCTATATGGGAGTTTCCGAAAACAGCGGTTCCTTATGTCGGGATCCTTATAATAAGGATCCTACTATTTAGGGTACTACATTGGGGTCCCCTATTTTCGGAAACTCCCATATTACAAGGGGCCCCAAAACCCTATTTCCTAAGGGTCCATGTACCCATATAGGGATACATGAGCCCCAAAGTACCCAAATAGGGACTACATTAAGGCCAATGTCTATATTGTATGAGTACATGGACCCTTACCAAAACCCCACGTAACCTCCCTTTTAAGGACTTATATAAAGAAATCATATTAGGGAACCCTGAAACAGGTAGGTTCCTTAGGGCCCAGGTAGGGATTCTAATTATTGTAAGGCTCCTTACAGTTTTGCAGTGCCCTTGCTCCGTCGAAGGCCCTCTGAGCCTCCAAGGATCACCTTACGGGTCCATGTGCTCATATGGGAGTTTCGGAAAATTCGGGGTACCTTATTTTGGGGGTGCTATTAATAAGGATCCTATTATTTAGGGTACTATATTAGGGCCCCCTATTTTCGGAAACTCCCATATAGCATGTAGGTACATTGGTCACAAAGTATACACTATTTGGGTACATGGACCCTTAGAATCAGGCTGCCGCGCCGGTGTGGAACGACCCGTCGTTCAACGGTGCGCTCGCTGGAGCCCAGATTTTGGTGACTTGGCTCGCTTGGGGTTCAGGGTATGGGGGAGAAAGGGGTTTAGGGTTCAGGAGGGTATCTTGGGGATGACGGGGTTTAGGGTTTCGGGTTCAGGGTAGTGGGGGCTCAGGGTCTCTTTTCCGTGAGGGTTTGCTAGGGCGTTAGGTTATTGCCTTGCAGAAAAGCCAGAAACTGGACCACGAGCTTCAACCCTAAATCGTGTGGTTCCATGACAGGTCCGAACTATATAGACTTCACGCCCCGCAACACCCAAAGCCTTCAACCCTGAACCATTTTGGCCCAGGACTTCCTTCGAAGTGGCCCTTCACGAAAGGACCAGAGCTCTACTGCGCCAGAGAGTATGAGGGTTTATGAGGTGTAGGAGTGTGTCGGATGAGTTTCGCCATTGTAGTTGAGGAATTTACGAAAGCCTTGCGGCTGCAGGGTTTAATAGCCTGGACAGAAGGTGGTTGGCAGTCATACGGCTAGAGGAGCACATGTGCTTTGGGCTTTTGGGCTCTGAATGCACCGGGTCTTCGTTAACTTAGGCTTGGAGGTGAGTTTGATCTGATTTTGGTTTTGAGTTCAGTGAGGCCGTAAGGGTTCCTGAACATGGGTAGAAATTTATCTGGAACCAAAGAAGCACCCACGCATAAACGTGTGGGTGGGATATCCTAGCCTTATTAGCTTACTTCAATGGGGACCTTGTGAGTTCTGGTTTAAGTTCCCTAGGTTAGACGAGATTTTCACACGGGCTTGGGGTTCAAGGTCTTTTCTTGTTGGACTCTTGACCATAAGGCGACTCTATGACATACTTTGTAGTTCGTCTTCTTAGTAGTAGAGTAGGTAACCTTTAACCTTTCTGGGGTACTATTATCCCGTAGATTAGCTTTAGTTCCCTCAGAATACTGGACAAAAATGAGAGTTTGGTTCCTTCAAGAAGACTATGCCCATCAATAGGGCTACTATTAAGGTATATATATATACATATATATATATAGATGGTTATATGCATATATACATATGTATGTATGTATGTATGCATGTATATATATATATATATATCTATATATGTTATATATATATATATATATACACATATATATATATATATATATATATATATGTATATATATATATATAATATACACATAGCACATATATACATACATACATATATATATATATATATATATATATTTATTTATTTATAGATAGATAGATAGATAGTACAACCCCCCCCCCCCCCCCCCCCTCCCCCGCGGCACCCAGGTTGTGTCCTGTTCAAGTCAGCCGCCTTGCCCCTAATCTGTGTTCGTGTTCCTTGGGCGTTGCGTTATATGTATATATATATATATACATACATCACAAAATGTCCAACTGTCACTACCCAGACTATGCCTATCCTGTTTGAAAGGAGCCGGACTCCGTTTGGAAGGGCAAAAGCAAAAGCTGGCCGCCCCATGTCCGGAAGTTCGCAGGGTCTGGGCTTCGAGGCTTCAGCACCCTAAATCCCTAAGCTCTACCTGTAGCCGGAAAGACCTACCTTTTTAGGGTTCCTTGTTATGGTTTCAAAAAAAACCTTAAAAAGGTAGGTCCTTTCGGCTACAGGTAAACCCTACAATGGTTCCTTTAAGGGATCCATCAAAGGTTTTGTTTAATTAAGATTTAGGAGTTCCAGCTGTGATAGATAGACTCTACGCTGTCACAAGAAGCCAAGCTGAGGATTCTCAAAGCTTGGCGATGAGCTTCAAGTGTCTTCAGGGTTTAGGTGTATTTACAGCTACACTCACTAAAGTCTACCCCTGACTCCAGGATGTCTTGCTAGAGTCCCGGATTCAACGTGCTGTGTCATGGCAAGTGTCCCCCAAGGTCTCAGTGTGCGATGTATCAGTCTCTAAAGCACTATACAGAAAGTACTGCTTGAGCATGCATGAAGACGCTAACCCTCGAACTACTCCCGCGATCCCTACGTAGGTAATGTGGACATGAACCGTTCATCATACTACTCAAACTGCCTGAGTATGATCCTGCATAGTGTAATTACCCCACACCCTTGTCCAACTTCCCCCGACAAGTTTTGTTACCTTTCAAGTGCCGTAATGTGGATTCTTTCGAAAGCATGACTATGACATGTCCACGCTGTGCAACACTTCGTGTCATCGACCGCTAGCAGACTTTCAACAACCCCCGGTGTAGGGATTGGAATTCGGCTCAGTGTAATATCCTTACAGCGGATACTAATGTGCCTATGCAATCTCAGCAGGTGAACAAACCCTAGGCCGTCCTAATTACACTCAAACTTTCCGTCATACAAGGCACACTTTCAGAAAACCCTGGCACCCTAAACCCCTAAACCCTAAACCGAGACTCTCAGTGCTTGTTCGGTCCAGGCGGTAACGAAGCCGAAGGTCCCACTTTGTAGGCCGAAGGTGCCACTGAAAACTGCCGCTGAGGCAACCCTGGGTTGTCCCTTCAAAGAAACGCCATGAAGCACAGACGTTCGTGACATGTATCTATAGAATCTGAGTCCTGGACAAACTCCTTCCTTGTAGTCAGGCCGTATAACTTTACAGGTGGATCCAATACGTCTTTCTCTGGCCTAGTGTTACCATGCAGTTGCATTGCTTTTGTGGGTTTGGGGCTTTTGGCTTTAAGGGTTCAGGGGTTTTGGGGCCTAGTTGAGTTTTGAATTTTACTTAACCCGGTCAAATTCTTAAACCCAAAATTCACCGAAACCCTGAACCAACCCCTAAACCCTGAGTTGTGTAGTTCTCTAAACTAGGGTCCCAAGATTGCACGGCGCCCTTATAAAAAGCGCTCGATCTGGGACCCTAATTTGAGGAACTACCCATTTGGGTTTCCGTAAACCCTGAACCCTTAAACCCTGAACCCCTAAACCCTGAACCCGCTAAACCCGGAACCCCTAAACCCTATAAACCCTGAAACCCTTCAGCCCTAAACCCTGAACCCTTCATCGAAACCCTAAACCCTGAACCCCTAAACCCTACTTGGAGGATCATGGGACTTAGTAAGTAAGGTTATAAGTTTCACAAATGAGGTTATAAGTATAGTTACCCTAATTATAACCCTAGTTCCTAAGTCCCATGAACCTTACCCTAAACCCTACACCCTACTTTGGGTGACCGAGGTGCCCTCCAGAGTCCGAGTCCAAAGAGGCCGAAAATGAGGCGGCGAGCTCCCTCAGAGCAGAGGCGCGCTTGGGGGGTTTTAGGGGTTTAGTTTAGGCGTTTAGGGGTTTCGGGGTTTAGGGCTAAGGGGTTTCAGGGTTTAGGGTTATTTAGGGTGTAGAGTTTAGGGATTGTTTTGCAGTGTTCACGGTTCGCCGGGGTGGGCTTCGAGAGTTTTGATATCAAGACAATTTGGGGTCTACACCAGGAGACCCAGTTTTCTGTAAGGTATCTTCGGCTTGGTGAGTTAGAGTTGTAAGGCTAGGGCGTAGGACCTTTGAATTTTCGGGCTCGAAGGCGTTTATGGGTTTAGGCATCTGTAGCGGTTGCATTGTCAGAGGCGGCTGAGCCTAAGCCGTACACTCTCGCATTGACACAGTGCGGTCAAATCCTTCGGGCGACAGTTTGGGTTCCCTACTTGGAGGGTCGGGGGACTTAGTAACTGGTTATTTTAGGGACTTATAAGTACCGTAACCCCAATTAGGGTCCCTTTTAGGATACTTATAAGTCTACTTACTAACTACTTACTAAGTCCCCCGACCCCCCAAGTAAGGAATTTACATGGGTTTTTGTGGAGATGAGGGTTTCACGGGGTCCAGGCTCTACGGGGTTTGGTTCAAGGTTTCCGCGGTTTCGGCTAAACCCTAAATCCTATAAGCCTTAAACCCTATTCTACTACTTAAGGCCCCCTAATTTTTGTATTCAACCCCAAAAGCCCTGAAAACCCTAAATCCTAAGCCTTAAACCCTGAACCCTAAACCCTAAACCTAGACCCTAAACCCTCCCTACTAAACCCTAAACCCGGAACCCTAAACTTTAAACCCTAAACTCTATCGCTTTCCAGGCTCCAGAGTTCGTGCCGGGTCAGTCCGTCGAGTCATCGAGCGAGGAGGGGATGTAGAGGGTTTAGGGTTCAGGGCATAGGTATCAGGGTTTAGGGTACTATCGAGGGGTCCACTTCGGGGTCCAAGCCTTGCTGCTCCGGGTGCCTAGGTTGTTTGTATATACGTACGTTGTTCTGTGAGGGGCTCCTAAACGGGTACTTTATGGCCAAAGCATACGATATCCTACTGTAGGCTCATGGAATCCTAGGCACTTGATGTTCAAACTCTGGTGTTTCGCTGGTTTAAGATAGAATCATGAGGACGCTTGGGGGGTAGGGGAGAGGGGGTTAGCGGCCTGAATACCCATAATAAGGACTTCATGAGGCCTATTTAAAGAAGATAGTCCCCTACCCCGCTCCCCCTACCCCCCTAAGGGTCCCTATGACAGAAGCTCATGGGGCCCCGCCAAACACCGAAGCTGCAACCCCAAACCAAGGGTGAAAGATAAGATCTCGCTGCCTGCGTAGGTTGTGGGGTAGCCAGGACCCACAGCCAGTCATGGTTATGCCAGACCAGCTTCCGCCGCTTGGTTTGGGATTAGGGGCATTGGTGAGTCAGTAGAACTTAATGAGTAGAATGGGCTCGGAGGTCTATTGTACTAGAAGTATAGGCGATAACCCGGCAGAGCATCACTAATTACGAGTATGATGTCGCCGCGCTACTGGCATTGCCAGCTAGGTCTTCATGTCACACGTCGGCTGCATGGTCATTGAATAGGCGGCCCTGGCAGTTCATTGGCGAAGAAGCCTTTATGCCATGGTTGACTCACTGTCTAGGATGCCCAGTAGTACCCTTATTCCCTTTTTGTAGTCCTAGGTTCCTTATAAAGTTACCCAATACCAAAAAGAGAGGCCTTGTTATTCTTAGGTTACTGGGTATCCTAGTTGTGCAAGTTGCAGCTCATGTAATCTGCTTCCGTTGGCTGCATATGATTACAGGGCTGGTCCTTCTCGTTTGGTCGATTCGCTGGTTGTAGTAGCAGTAGCGAGAAGAAGGAGGAGGAGGAGGAGGAGGAGGAGGAGGAGGAACCTCCGGATGGTATCGGTATCGTGGCGAACGGACGCGAATGCTGATTCACAGCATCACAGTAATCCCGGCATTAGCAGTAACAGTGCTGATAGCAGGATGAAGACCGGCATGAAGAGACTCTTCCTATGAGAAGCGGTCATCTTGATAGGTTCAGTTCAGTTGCATCAAGAGCTTCAATGACCGTCAGATGGGTTTTGGTAGTCCGCAATCAAAACTCGTATCAGCACGAGACATGGTAACAATACGCACGCACTCAGCACCAGCAGAAATCTTAGCAACAAGAGCAATATGTAGTATACCTGAACCCGAAACCTGCGAAAAGACGGGCTCAGGCCGGGCTGCCAAATCGTGATGGTGCCGGTGCAGATGCCCATGTTCGAGGTGACGGTTTAGGGTTTCGGGCTCAGGGCTTCGGGCATGTCCGAGGTGTAGAGTGTTTGGCCTTGGTTTTTCGGGGATTAGGGAACTTTAGGTGTAGACTGTATGCAGCCTTAAGACGGTATCTGTAGGGTGTGCGGGGTATGGATGTGGCCTTAGAGGAGTCTCAGGGTTCCGAGTCCAGGAATACTCCTTGAAGCCACAACCGGGCTTCTTCACAATCTTTAAGGTTTAGAGCCCAGTACATCAAGACCTCGGCTTGAATCGCGGATCGGAGCATTCGAGGGTTTGAGGTTCTTCCGGATGGCCTTAATAATTAGAATAGAGTTTTGGGGGCCATTAAACTATATATATATATATATATATATATATATATATATATATATATTACCCCCCCCAAATAGTATATATCGGTAATAATTGAGGCCCCTCTAGTACCGCTTCAGCGCTCGGGCTCCAGAGCCAGTTGAGGTCGTGCGCACAAGAAGTCGCCCCTCGGAACTCGAAGCAACACTCCGACACCATAAGGGGGCTTCCGTAAATTAGGGGTGCCGTACTTTGGGCCCTTATAATAAGGATCCTACTATTTAGGGTACTAGATTAGGGTCCCCTATTTTCGGAAATCCCCATAAACTCGTCCCAGAACTCGCAAGGCGATCTCCCCCAAGCTTAAGATTCTCAAAACCCTGGTCTGGGCACCAAACCAGGTGAACCATAGCGGCAGCGTGCGGATATATCGATATTGTCTGTCCCATGAGCTTCACTCGTCTATGTGTTCTCCTGCATGCTTCTTCTGTACTCTGCTGACCGTAATCAGCGCGTGTGGCTGTGTTAGTGGTCGACAGCAGCGATATAGATCATCACCGTCATCATCGGCATCATCATTACCATCATCATCAGCAGCAACAATGTCAATGTGTCATACTTTCGTAGATACATGCATAGAGCTATTTGATAGTCACACACACACACACACTGGGCAAGCAAGCATCACATATGCATCACTAGTCAGTGTTGCATCCTGTTTCGTAGATACACATTGTATTCGTTAACATGTGGAGTTTTTTAACTTCTGTTCCTGTATACCTTGGTATGATTTTCCGAGATCTGTCGTCCGCAGGCTATGGTTATGCCAATGCCAGCTGCTTCTGCTGGCAACTTGACCCAAGCTTCGGTGTCGTTTAGACCGTAGGGACTGGGTTAGTGGATTTCAATCTTGGGGCCTGTTAGGCTTTCCTAACTTATTGTTGAGGGTTTGATCTTATGGTCTGAGGGTTTAGAGCGAAGCACGGAAAGTTGACTCGCCACATGAGGGCGTCAACGCCGCCTACGTCCCCAAGCCGTAGGGTCCGCCTTTTCAAGCCCGAGGTGAGCCTTCCCTACTTCCTTAGGGGTTTGAAACTTATTATCATGGTGTTTGACTCTTAGGGTTACGATCGCCGGCTTGCAGTTTTTTCTGCTTTTTTTGACTCAGGGGGGTTCGAGCCTCCTTATATCCAGAGTCTCGGGTTTCCCAGGCTGCATGATGATGCCAATGAACATGGACATGATGCAGATGGAGCTGCCCGTTTGCACTTTTTGGGGCTTTTGCTAAGCTCTGTCACGGTTTACGAGATTAACTATAAACCTAAACACTGACTGACTGCTACCCGTTCCTGCTCAACAGAAGCTTGTCGCCCCTGTGCGGCATGACTAAAACTGAGCTAACTCCGAGAACACTTCTTGTGCGGATACTTCTCATGGACTGGCACTGCTTGTCGAGCTGTATGGGACTAGGCTTGTATTGCACCTCCTCTGCATCGGATAGCTGACATCTGAAACCCGAGCCAGACATTCCGGATGACACTACGTTTAAAGTCAACTGAGTACAAGCTGTACTCTGGACTCTGGATATGAAACTGTGTCAGACCATCTGCAAGAAGTGTTTTGAATATGTGTAGTTGGTAAGAACGATAACAGTATCAGCAACCGTTATCGCGGCACTAGTACTCGTAATGACGGCAGCAGCAGCAGCAACAGCAGCAGCAGCAGCAGCGCGGTAGCTGCTGCGGTAGCAGTAGCAGTGGCAGTAACGGTAGCAGTAGCAGAGGCACTAGCCGCAGCAGCAGCAGCACAGCGGCAGCAGCAGCAGCAGCTGCTGCGGTAGCAGCAGCATTGGCGGTAGCAGTGGCAGTAGCAGTAGCAGAAGCATTATCAGCAGGAGTTGCAGTAGCAGTAGGAGTAGTCGTAGTAGTAGCAGAAAGAAGCAGCGGCGGCAGCAGCAGCAGCAGCAGCACACGAGTAGGGGTAGCAGGCGCAGTAGTAGTCGTCGTCGTCGCGGAGGCGGAGGAGGAGTGTTATGATATGGGAATACGAGTGACAATGTCACTGGAAAGAAGCACTCATCACATCGAATGTAACCTTAGTGTCGTTTCGCAGGTCTCCAGCCGACTGGACACCGGCCGGAGAGGTGGTTCGTCAGTTCTTGAGGGGTTGTGCTTTTGGTTCACATGTTGCTGTCTAAGCAGCAGCCACAAGTTTTCTTGCGCATTGGGCTTGTGCTACTGCGGTTCTGGCATTTGGATATGCAATTACACTACATTCGGTGTTCGAGGCATGGTGTCTGGCATCCTGCATCTCTCAAAAAAATGAAGGGCATGTAGAAGAATTCCCAAGCTTAGCTTGCTGAAGGTAATGAGGCGCTTGTCCATCAGTGGCATCCTAGTTGGTTCAATCTCTTATACCTAGAACTCTCAGTGCGCTGCACAGGCCGAAGCAACCGCCTGCTGCCCTGATGTGGACAAAGCCGAAAAGGAGCAGGACACTTCGGAGAGTCCTGCTTAGGACTTAACAGAGTGTCACAGGGTTTATGAGGTACTGACGTAATAATTAGGTTCTTTGCCTACAATGACCAGTTGCATTGGTAGTTAGACCCTTTCGGTGGTATCAGAGTTAAGAAAAGTCGCATGTACAGTTCTTGCATGCTTCGCATGGAGCTTGCTTATTTTGGCTTGCTGTGCTGCACCTGACGCAGCAAGTGACAAGCCGAATGGATTCTGGGGCTTTGTGGAACACAGGATGCCAGTGCAACATGACCATGCTTACTCGAGTCCTTCGTTCAGTGTCGTTTCTTCTGAGCTTACTCCCCTGGTCCTGAGCCTCAATCCATCCCGTAGGCTTCGATTGTTTTCTTGAGAACAAGTTCTGGGTGAGTGGCTTGGTTCAGGTCGAGTGTGGCTGCACCGTAGAATTATCGTGACCCTTAGTTTTCAGGGCATGGGGTTTTGGATTAAGAGTCTGACCTTTGGGTTTCAGAGCATTAATCTGCCCATGACCCCCCGAACCTGGAACACACACCATAACCCTGAATTCCTGAACCCTAAAGCCCGAAACCCTAAACAGGGAAGCTGCAATAGCCCGACAAAGCCCATGATGTCCGATATGCCAGGAGCCCAAAGAGGAGTCTGCGACCCAGACTCCTTGTGTGAGGTTTCTGTTTTTCCATTTCTTGTGGTGGGGACCCTTAATGGGGACCCCTACCCTATAATGGGCTATATGACGGGTATTTAATAGCTATATTAAGGGTATATACCTAGGCATCCTTGGGATTTTACCTGTTTTGAGGGCTTCTGGAGCTAGGTCAGTCGGTCTTACAAGGGGAAATCTGATGCGCTGGGTTTACTGGCTTCAGATGGCGGAGAGCGTGGAGGGTTAGTGTTTTCAGGGCGACAGATAGTCTTCCTCATTCCCAGTACCAGGGTTCAGGGTTAGTGATAGCTGCTCTGGGCGGGAGTGAAGCCTTCATGAAACAGGACCCTAAACGACCTAAACGGTCCTAAACCATGAACCTCATACCCGGAACTCTCAAGCGCATATTCCAAACTGCCAGAGGTTCCTCCAACCGTGACCTTAACCCCACGTAACCTACCTTTTTAAGGACTTATATAAAGAAATCATATTAGGGAACCCTAAAAAAGGTAGGTTCCTTAGGGTCCAGGGGGGTGATGCTCAGGAGCTTCCCCTCCAATGACAAAGCAGCCCCAAACCCCTCGCAAGCTTGAACCAAAAACTCGTATCACCCGGGGTGACTATACGGGATCATTAGTAGGGTTCTAGAATATAGGGGCTTATTACTTCGAATAGGGTGTTGAGGGCCTATTATTATGAACCCAGAACCCTAAAACCCCCCACCACCCAAGCCTGCATAGCATAGATGCGAAGCGGACTCCCGGTGCTTAAGGGAGGACCAGGAGTGCCGCGGGCTCAAAACCTAAACCCCGAAGCCCTAAAGGCCCTCAATTAAACCCTAAAGGCCCTAAACTGTGAACAGGGTTTAGGGTTTAGGGTTTAGGGTTTAGGGTTTAGGGTTTAGGGTTTAGGGGTTTGGGGTTTAGGGTTTAGGGTTTAGGGTTTTGAAAACTCTACACTCCAGACCTATCGACCTCCGTTTTCTTTGATCTCGAGGCAATCTGGCTGTGAAAGCGATGATGACTGCGACTCTATTTTCGGAGAGCCACCGGTGCGAGCCCTGGATTTTAGGCTAAGGTGTCACATGTTGAGGGTTGATGCTTGCACGTTGAGCTTTCAGGAACAGTCAGTGTAGTTGTATCGTGCTTGGGAAACTAGGTAGGGCTTTGGGACATTTTATATTTTCCCTTATTGGGCTTAAGAGGATCTTACTTACTAATATTTTTCAAAGGCTTTAAAAGCCCCACCTAGGAAAGTTTGGGGTGACAGAACCCTAACGTAGCTAACCTAAGCCCCAATGACACGGAGCTCGAAGCCCCTCCGGCCCGGATCTTTGAGGACCATGAGGCCCTAATGCCTGAAAGCCCTGAATCTGCTACGACTGAGACGACGGCGACTACTACTGCTACTCCTGCTACTACTACTACGACGACTACTACTATTAAAACTTATAAGTGTCAGAAGCTACTGCTAACGCTGCTGCTCCTCCGGCTGGCGCCGCTGCGCGTACCAGCTATGCTTCCTGCACTGCTACCACCAGTGTTTCATGTGCTTCTCCTAGCTACAATGGATCACGGACTTGACCACCTCGCAAGTTACCAAGACCCACAATTGTGCCCTTGCAAAGCGGTTCCAGTCGGCTCCCTAACGAAAAGTATGACACCCAAATTCATGAGGTTTCAGAAGAGAGGGACCCGAAAACTGATCCTCAGTGCTAGGATCCATATTGCTTTTTGCAGAACCTATCACCTTAGTGCGGACATGATACCGTCCATGTGAACCTTAGCAAACCCGCGGCAGACGAAACATGCTCGAACGCCAAGGCTCTCAAGCGTCAGATGACCATATGAGTGACCCGGCTTGCAATTGCAATCCCTGATGCGCAAACCCCCAGAACCCCAACTCTGACAACCTATAATATAGGGGCCTTAAGCAATGACCTTAATTAATGTAAACAATCACCTACTATTTTGGGGGTTTCTTCTTAATCATAGTATAATGAGCCTCTTCGAATTATTAAGGCCCCTATATTAAATCCTACACTCTTCTTCAGAGATGCCTCGGAATTCAGGCCCCTTCAGTATTTTGGTCCTTTGCTGAATAGTTCGTTGCCTCCGATTGTCCGTGTCCTGCCGCCAGGGCCGCACCTAGCAAGGCTGTTCTACTTGGAGGATCATGGGACTTAGCAAGTAAGGTTATAAGTACCTTAATGGGGGATATAAGTAACTATAAGTATAGTTACCTTAATTATAACCCTAGTTACTAAGTCCCATGATCCTTTAAGTACGCCCCTAGGTCAAACTCTGCAGCGTTATGTCTTGCAAGGCTCGGGATTCCTAGTGGGCTGGAACTGCAGTGCCTTTAGGAGTCTGAAGACAGAGTAATGTCCCCCTATAGTGTCGCTATGTATACATGTAACATAGAGAATTTGCATCCTGCTACAGAGAAGGGCATGCCTTTTCGGGCTCCTCCGGTCGGTGTGCATTCTTGTCTGTGCCTTTGAATTTGATTCTGCAGCCTTCGTAGACCTCGGAACCCTAAACCTCCACCCAAAACCCGAACGACAAACTTCAGAACACGAAGCCTCACTGGGCTGCATATGTTGCACAGACCCCTGATGGATGAAGGCCCCGCTTTCGGTAGGATTCCAATCATCTACACCCTAAATTCCTGAATCCCAGCTGTAGCCGTTGACATCACTACAACTTCTCACACTACAATACTGACTCGACGAGGCCGTACTACGGTTGATGATATCAATCCTGCATGACCCATAAGAAGGAATATACCATAATTCCCATAGTTTAAGGTCTTTAAGGTAATGCAGGAATTTTATCATCAACCGTAAGTGGGGCTTGAGGCTCTTTGGTCATGCCGTGCCTACTTCGGTACACAGGCATCTATCCGAAACAATGCTGGGATGTTGGGGCCGAAGCGCGGAGGGTTATCATCTTAACTCATAGTCTTATATCAGAATACACTAGATTGTATTAATTGTATCATAGTATGTTATATTGCATTATTCGTTCGATAGTTGTGGCAATGATTATCTTGCCGATCGTGAGTTGATTGTCGTGCTCGTGGTGATCGCTGCTGCGCCAGTATGATGCCTGTCCTTGCACTGAAGGGACCAGATTTCTGAACGAGCTCGCCTCACACGGCCCGTCTTGATACTTTAAGTCCCGATGCACCTCGAACCAAGCCCCACAATCCTCCGCGCTGCAGGCCACAAATCCCACTTACTGTAACACAGGGGCCTTAACTTTGCCTTCAAGAATCAGAAGAGGGTATATATTGGACTATATAACAATACGGAACCCCCAATAGTTTTGGTAATTATTTCGGCCTATATACTTCCCCAGTCTAAGCCAGACCCAGGTCTCCGCAGCACCGACGAATCTGCGTTGAAATGCGTTACCCGCGTGAGGGGCAGCTGGCCCCAATACTTAAGGTCTGGTGTCTGCTGTCAAGAACCCCGACTGTATGTACCATGGCAAACTGACCGTCTATAAACCCTAAATCCAGAGTCACCTACCCGAGAAGCGCCACCAGCGGTAGAGGCCCGCCCCAGTCAGTAAGCCATGCTGGCCCATGGCTGCTTGTAGTCCCAGCTATCCTTATCATATCTATATATATATACACATATATATTTATGTATGAAAATGAGATAGGCCATGACTCCGAATATCTTAATTAGAGAACACCCTTCTTATCATGAACATCATGATTCAACTCATCCCACTATCAGGCGAAAATCATAGCACAACAATCTAGTAACAGAGGATAAAGCCTTCGATGGGAGCGAGAATCACTGTGTCCATGCTTAGCATTCTTGAATGGTCGGTGTTTGTGTACTAGTACAGTAGAAGCCCAAAAGTTGGAAACCCCATAGCCTCAATCCTTAAGAGTAATGCATAAGGAACCCCAGCACTCTTTGGCCTTAATCAGGTTTTCAACTTTATGGGCTTTACTGTATGCTACTGTTGCGCGCTTTGCCCTCCTACGGTGCACTGCCATTGCAGTACAGTTCCTCGAATTCCATGCTCGAAGCACATTTTGGGCTCCTTATCAACATTTTCTTGTATCCGTGAATTACTGGGTTCTTGTTAAGGCACTTAATTTCAGTTACCATAACAGTGATTTAGGAAAAATCTGGCTTCTAAACTAGAGCATACCCATAGGCCCCGAAGTAGTTCCTTTTTGGGATCACCTTATAGGATTCTAAATATGATCCCCAGAAAGGAACTACTTTGGGGCCTTGGGTAGTATCCATGAAATATGATCTCGGAAGTCATCATGCAATGAAGCTGCCCGGGCTCGTTGTGTCTGTCGGTGTTCGACAGCGCCCAGATGGAATCTTCTGCGGTGGACGGGAAACCACGATGTTAGAGGCATCTTGAGCACATCTCATGAAACTTACAGGCTTTCGGTCGCTGTACTTGCTTTTGCAATCGCTTCCGTATGAAGCTGCATGGCTAGACTAGGCCTTGAGCTCTAAGAAACAGACCTTGGTCTTCTTGAAAGCTTATGCTGAGTCTCGAGCACGAGCAGCCATCACATCTACAACTCCCAACCGTTGCCGTAGCCTCGATACCCAACCCTTAAGCCTTAAGCTGAGCAGGGCGCACTTTGCAACAGGGAAATCAAAAGTCGAAGGAAAGTGTTGTTTGCATCTAGTGCTTCGGCTCCATGCTAAAAAGTAGAGACATGCAACCCACGCCCTGGTTCAAAACCTAAACAAAGAAGAGACATACATACAAGGGAGCGGCGTCGACAGGTGCTGATGCCTCACATTGTGGGTTCCCCAGGCCTCGCATCCTCCAACGCTGCCGTTTTTGCACGGAGGCGTTTCGCCGCACGCACCTCATCTCAAAGTTTGCAGTGAGGAACTGTATAGCTCCACAGAGAGCCTGCGGAGCTATGCTAAGAGCTACTCTCAGCTCTACTGGGCGTCGACCAAGTCCCTGGAGCTTGTGGGTTCAGCAAAGGCTTTATGCAGAACTCCGGCCTGGGGTTTGGGGTTCAGGGAAAATAGGTAAGGTTTCTTTGTATAAAATATATGATATATATATATATATATATATGTACATATATATATATATATATATATTACAATATAAAATATATGTAATCGGCACCGGCTTCCATTGTCTGGGGCTCGCCGAATTGAGGGTCAAAGGACAAGCTTGTCGGGCCTAGTACTTTTGCACTGCAATCGCCGTGCGTACTTGAGGTACCGTGACTGTTGTACGTGTAGAGGTTCAGCAACATCACCTAGTTGCTTCCTCCGTATCATAACGTGTGGCTTTAGCTTGCAATTTTAAGTCCTAATCTACCCGTCATGATAAGCAGACTCACAAAGACGAAGAGCGCACAGTTGATCTTGTCTTTTCTGTAGCAGCATGATTGCCTGATGATCTGGTTGATGGCCTTACGCAGCATTAACTCCTACTTGTATCGTGATCTTGGCGTGGCACTCTCTGGCTCGCGAGCATCATCATCATCATCATCATCATCAGCATGATGCTGCTTGCCGACAGCATGACACTCAGCATCACCATTATCGTCATTCTCCAGTATCTTCATGCAATACAATCTTCTTCTGCACCACATCACTACCATCTTTTCACATCTGTGAGCCAGCTTGTTCTTTATCATGACCATCATATGGACATCAGTGCAAATCCGTGGTCCTCGTCAATGATATAGGGGCCTGAAGAATTCGAATAGGGTTTTGGGGCCCAGTGTACTATGATTATAATAAGGAACATCCAAAATAGTATAGGCAATTATTTAGTTGTCAGCATCAGGAAGCACCTCATCGTTGTCTTATCGGCTCGTCATGCTGAGCAAAAGACTGCACAGGGACGCAATACATTCATGAAGTTGCAAGTTTCCAGGGAGTTCGATTCCAATCTACGGCTGCAGGGCTTTTTGCACCCGGCACGCCGCGTCCCGCTATCTCTTGAATGTTATTATCGATTGTTCCCGGAGCCGTCGAACCTGAGAAAAGTCGGGGTGGATATTGGGAAACCAGTTGGAAGTCCAAGCATGTACGATGCTGAGGCTGCAGAGGCAAACCACTGGGGTTTTCCAGACACTCCCCTGCTGTTCAGGCTTTCGCGGCAATAAACCGGCTGTTCTCACCGCTGTGCTGCACAAACCTTCTCTCTCAAGCCTCGTGGCTGACTGTGTTTCGAGGTCGAGGATACAGACCCTCCGTTTGAGCCGCAATGCTCGATCGTGTAGATACAAGAATCCCTTGCTGTGTCATATGTGTTTGCTCTTGTGTGCATGTTCATGCACACCTGTGCATGTAGATGCGTAGCTTACTCATACGCATGTAAGTAAAATGCAGGTCTGTCTGTCTGTCTGTCTGTCCGATTCTGTATCTACGTATGTAATATAATGAAATCCCATTAGTGAAATGTAAATGTATTGTATCGTATGTACATGTGTATGTGAGTATGTGTGGGTGACCGCATGTATGTAAATACATATATATATATATATATACATACACACACATGTGTGTATGTATATATATATATATATATATACATGTGTATATATATATATATATATATATATATATATATTATACATATATATATACGCACATACACACACACACACATGTACATACATACTTACATGCATACATACATACCTGATTATGTAGACATCTGTATAGAATCCTACCGTTGTCTGCGCACCCTTGGTCCAGAATTTGCGCTGCTGGCTGGGTTTGGGCTTAGACTTCGTTAGCAGTTCTTGGGTGTCAGCCGCTCAGCCCTCATACTAAACCCTGGAATCTCATTGTCATTCAAGAAGCCGTATCAAGCACCTA